AATAGACATAAGTACAGTTTCAGGGCTTTCATTGAGATGTCTTTCAAAATACCGAGAGGGAGGCGGGGGGGGCAAACCAGGGAGAGCACACCGCCACACTGATATGCAGTATTTGGGTACTCAGTGCTAAACAGAACAAGGATTTGTTGGCAAATGATGTGGTATAAATTTTTATTCTAAGAATTTTTTGTGTATGGTCATATTGCATTAAAGTTTTTCCTCTGTGGGGAGAAGAAACATATTTAATATCTTCAGAAGTGCTTTTTCCTTCCTCCAAAGATGGTCAGTGAGAAATGAAATATCACCCTTCTTGCAGCTGAAGAATGTTTTTCCTCAGGTCTGAACCAAGGGCCTGAAATTCCATTCTGTAACAATGATGGGGTTTATTTTGCCAGCAGAACTCTCATTTATAGGTTATGACTTCACATGCTGTTTGGGACTGAACGAGCTTTTTCTTTGTTCCTGAAAAGCAGCACACTTTCTCTTGGCAATATCAGCCAAGAGAACTTCTGAGTGTGTTTCACAGAGTGAAAAATTTTCTTCAGGAGTTAAGGATTTTCTAATGAAAATGGAGTGGTGGGAGAGGGTTGGTTGGCTGTATTTCCACTTATCTTGCTTTCCATCCCCAAATGCATAAGATAACCAAGATGAAAACCCATCATTTTGAAGGTGTTCATGGAGCCCACCCCTCAGTGTTAATTGCAAGAAGCACTTTGGAGCTTTTCCTTGGTGCTTTCCTCTCTCTCAGAGAGATATAAAAGAGTCAAAGTTCCAGTTGAGAGGTAGTACAGTTGGGTAAGACTTGAAGTGCTAACTTGCTCTGTTTAGAAGGTTCCATTCATTTAACCAGAAGAGTCTATGCTACTGTATGTCTTTCTTTCTATGCTTCCTTTTTAGGAACAGTTGTTTTGATTTTTTTCTAATGGAATTAATATATACACAATTGTTTGAAGAGAAGGAGGTGTGTATCTCTATAGTTACAATTATTCCTTGAGACGTGCAAATAAGCTCTCTGCATCCAATTTTCGCTCGTGTATCTAAAAAAATTTTGACTCACTGAAAGGAAAGGGGATGACCCAGTTTATTTGCAGCCTTATCTTTAAGTGTAAGAGTTTGTAGAACTTGGTTCTTCTGATAAGTGCTGCTAGAAAAATGTGATACGCATTGGCCATGTAATGGAGTATACAGATAAACAGTATAGCCCAAAAGTATGCTCTAAAGGTAGTAGTGATATTCTGTTTAGTGATAATTTTAGTTGAAAGACCTTTTTTTCCTCATGAAGAAGAATAGCTGAACCTTACTTTTTTTAGTTACAAGGCTGCTTAGTGCATGTAAATTATTTTAAGTGTGCTTATCAAGTTCTGAAAATCCAGCTGATGGAAAACTCATGAGACAGTTACTAACCACTCAAAGAAGGCCGAGAGGAGTTCCATTTTCAGATTTCCATCCAGTTTGCAGATTTCACACTTAAGCAAAGGAAGATATATGTGGAAGTCACTGCTTCCATTCTTCCAGTCTTAAAGGCTTTGAGGAGTTAGCTTTGGAATTTGAAAATGCAAGCTCTTTTTCCTTTGACATAAATTTATTTTAAAGGAAAAGGAATTGCAAAATTTGTTTCATGTGAATGTACTTGTCTCTACATTTTGCACAAGAATATTTAGTGTCTCCTTAAGGGTGATACAGTGTTATGCTTTCATTTGCAAGTTTGGAAAAAATGGAATTATATCTAGAATCATCTTTTATTTATTATTTGTTTATTAGCAATTGTTGAAGCGCTTAAGAGTGATATGTTTTTCTTACAATGAGGCAGGAAATGCAGGTGTACCTCACCTGTACCAGGTGCCACTGGTGCATGTCCAGAATACAGCTTCTGCTACATTTTGTTAATATGACTGTGCATAAGTGACGTGGTTGCTGTGTGTTGTTTGTTTCATTGTAGAAAGTGCGTGCAGCCATGAGCCCATGAGCCATACTTATAGGACATTTGCATTCCTGGCAGATGACTGTTCAAGTTCATTTGCACAGTGGGAGAGCTTATATTTTTCGTTACAGTCATCAATGACTGAGGGAGGAGGGGAGACAGGGGCCACACAGAGACTTCCAGAACAATTAGCTTTTTTCTGCTTCTATCCCAAAAGCTTGTGTGAAAGAGGGAAGCGGTAAATAGGCTGCTTGCTGAATAAATATTTCTGGTGGCAATATTAGCCCTTAGAACCATCTCTTGCTTGCTTTTGCATGCAGATTTTAATGCAAAAGGAGGCATAAAAAGTTCAAAGACAGTGTATTTGAGAAATAGCTGAATTGTTAAATAAAATACTAGAAGCATATTATGGCAAAATTCTGGGTTTTCAGAGGGTTTTGTTGTTGTTAAATAGTGATTCTATCTCTTTGTGTTTGCTTTTGTTGTTAATACAAAAAGAAAAAAGCTGCAGAAAAAAGACCTTCAGAAACAATTTTTCTAATGTGCATACAGTCTGATAGTACACAACTGGTGCTGTTGGAAAAACCTCAAACATCCCGTGGCAATTCTTAGAGCTAGAGAATTCCTTCAGCGTGTCTCCATTTCACACATATCCAACATCTAGTGCAAGTGTAATTCTTTTTGATGAAGGGCACCCACATTTTCAAAAGGATTCTTTACCTATGCTATTAAACTTAATTATTCAAAAGCATTACTTAGTATTTATATTTCCCTTTACTGATGTAAACAACATGGATATTCATATGGTTTCTGTATTCAGTCGTGACTAGAAAAAAAGCTTTATTTCCAGCCAGTAAGATTTGCTAAAACTGGTTAGTAATAGAAGCACTGAAATGACTTTACTGTATGAGCAGTTTCCATGCAATAAAAAGGAAATAAAGCTTGATTGATATGTATAAAAACAGAATTATATTTTAAGTCTAAAAGATTTGTAAGTCTGTAAGTGTAAGTCAAGAATTCAGACTTCCACTAATGATCATTCAGAATAACATGTAGAAATTATAAATACAGATCTAAATTAACAAGACCTTGAATTCTTTGAGCAGAAATTGTTTCCCTCTGTCAATTTTGTTAATAAAGAAGTAATCTGTCAGAATTATCACGGAAAGAATATGGAATCTCCTTTGTGCAGTTATTTTTTGCGTAATATATTTTCTGTCATTTCTCTGTGCTAAGAGACAGTGTGACCGAAGTCATATATGAAATTTTACATTGTGAAAATGCACTTTCCTTAGAGCTTTTGTTGCCCTCTTTCTGCACAGGTGTAGGTGTTTGAATGGTGATGGGCATGTTGTCTTTTTCTCTGTCATGTTGATTTCTTGCTAACATTGTGAAACTGCCTTCCTTTGCGACACTGTGACCGTATAGTTTAATTATAGTGTAATTGTTAGATGCTGTAAACATTCTGATTTCTGGAGAAGATAGTGGCTTTCAATAAGTTAATAATACACTTGTTTGTCACTTCAGTGCTTTTATCTGATGCAAAAGCAGTTTGGCTTTAGGAACCAATAATGCCCTTCATATTTACTAAAAGAAATCACAGAAGCAATGTCTAAAAACATGTCTTAAATGGACAGGAAACAGATGTGCTAGTAGTGAGTATGTTGGCATTGTTAGAAATAAACTGCATAAGTAACTGCTAGTTATGTAAAACAAGGGCTATGTGGCCAAGTTGGAGTAAAATCTTTAATGAGTAGTAATTGGAAAAAAAAATAGGGCTACGCCTACTGAGTTTAACTAGAGTGCTTTCTATCTGTATCATAACGCTATTTTATTGAAGAATAAAAGTGGTAGTTATTAAGCAAAACTTCTGAAGTTGTTTGAATTGCCTGTTTTGCTGGTCATTTTTGTGTGCTCGTTGGAAGCTTCCCTTTTAGAGGATGTGGTATTTTCCAGTGCGTGACTTTTTGTAGTAGGTTGTTTAGAAGTAGAGTTTCTGTCATCTTTCACATCTGCTTTGATGCCACATTTTGAGCTGTCCTTCTTGCTGTTCTGTGAGTTCTTTCTCCTACCTTACAAATGGCTGGGTGGGGAGTTATTTACTGTTCTTGTTCTATTCGTTCTTCTAATACAAAGCTTTTAGAAGACATGAGATATAATGAAAAGTTTTGTTTATAGACGGAAGTGGAGAAAGAGGGGAGAAAGATGCCAGCAAAATCACAACCTATCCACCAGGGGCTGTCCGCTTTGACTGTGAACTGCGAGCTGTACAAGTCAGTTGTGGATTTCACCATTCAGGTAAAACCAAACTAATCAGTGTTAATTACAGCGTAGAATTTTTGTGGTGTTTTGGGGTTTTTTTTAACATCATCATATGTGTTTTCACTGCTTTGTGTTTAATTTTCAATAAGGATGCATTAAAAGGAGTGTTAAAGGTTGAAAAGATTGCAGTGTTATTTTATAGCCTACTACACTGTCCGACATTGGAAAAGGGTTATAAGTATCATATATTAAGTTATGTCAGAGTTTTGAAGAAATTCTTGAGGCATTCAAAAACATCTGTATGGCACAGCTTTAGCCATGCATAGAGATGTTAGCTGTGATGGGTTGTAGAATCTGGTGTAGATCTCCTGGTGTTTCAGTAGGGACCGTTAACTGTGCTGCTCAGAAAGGCTAACCAGCACTGGTGCAGGACCGTGTTAACATGTGTGTGTCAGAAAAATACTCTTCTTTTTTTGTTTGTTTTTCAGTGGTTTTGATGGAGAGTGGTGATGTTTACACGTTTGGGTATGGCCAGCACGGGCAACTTGGACACGGTGATGTTAATTCCAGGTGAGCTGGTAATTAATGGATGTGGTTGTGTATTGCTCTGCTGCTACGTAACAAGGGGCTACGTTTCTTTTTCTCTGTAGCTAACAAGTGTGAAAACTCCAAATGTTTATTGTCCAAATAAAGTTAATAAGCTCTTGTTCTGCACTTATTCCCCATAACCCTCTGGATACAGATAGAGTAACAGTACTGTTGTACTGTATAAGTAATTTGTTTAATACATGCAGACTTTTATGCATAGTTATTAACATAGCTTTGATAATTGAGTTTGAAATGCTGTCTCTTCAGTTCTCCCTACGTGTGAGAGAATGACATTGAAATCTCCTTAAGAGATCATTATTTCTGTAAAACACTACGCGTGCAATAATTCAAATAGTATTATGTTGTAAACCTAGATTAACCTGCTTCTGTTACACAATAGTTCAGTTATGATAAAATCTCATTTTTGTTTATTATTAATCTATGTAAGTCACTGAGCTTGGGTCTCAGCTGCATTTTGTAGACACCTATTTTAGATGTCGGCATGAAAGTGCTTTCTTTGTGGTCAATGAAAATAGAGAAGTCAACAGAGTGTGGAGAGCTATTTGACTAACCACTAACTTATGTGCTTTAGGTATGCTCAGTAGCTCTGTGAACTTTATGGCTTTGATCTTCATTGACTACAGTGAGAGCATAGATAATTAAATATAGGTGTCTTTATTGTGAAGTTCAGTCTAGCCCTTGGTGTTTCATCCTAAGTATCTTACCTACTCATAAAAGTAAAAAAAATTGGTGTCCTGCCATAAAAAGAAATGTTATAATGTGCTTTGGACATGTACGTATACCATAAAACACATAAGATGTGGGATTTTGAAGAGTAGGAATCATTGAGGCTTTGTGAATGTCCAGTAATTCCCAATATCCTTATATAAAAGACATATGGAGTGGAGCATCCATGACCTGTCTTCAGTTCTGTCATTTCTCTTGTAGCAGTGAGATGAAAATTACCATCTATCTCCCAATCTCTTTGGAGACTTCCAAGTCACTTCTTTTGTCACGTTTCTGAAGAAATCTTCATCTTCTTAAAACTTTCATTGGATTCACTAAACAGAAGGGGGAGAGGGAAGGAAGAAAGAAACTTTACTGGAAGTGTTGCTTTGTACTGACTGCTGTGCCTAATGATAGTCTCTAAAGTGTTATCCCTACTAAGTTTGCATTGGACTGGTGAATGCAGTCTGTGTTTCTGCCTGTGGTAGAGCCATATCACAGAGAAGTGCTCTTTTTTTCGTTCCTGGAAATTCTTGGGTACTTGTTTCAAGCTACAGCTGCTTTAGCTGGCATTTCAAGTCACTACTAAAATAAGGCCAGTTTCTGTCTCAAAGACTGAAGAGGTACAAATAGCATTGGCATTTGTACTGGTAACTTGTCTCCTATTTCCAACTGATGAAATCGCTTGGATTTCCTGAAGGCATTGGAGCTATCTGCTGAATCAGTCAGGATTTCAGGCAGTAAACCCCACGTCTGGTGCTTATTTAGACAGAAACTGGATGGAGACCAAATGTAGTTCCAAGTGAGATCTTAGAAGAGAACATGAAACGTCCTGTGCCAAAGGATAGTGTTTGACCAGGCCTAGAAGCTGAAGAGCTACCAGCGACTTGGCACTGACCTTTGTGTCATTCTACAACAAAACCTAGAGAGTGTCTGGCAAAAGCTTTGAAGAAATTTGGAGTATGTCCCATGCATGAGAACTGGCTGTAGTACTATATTGCTATTTAGCACCATCATTCAAATGATAATTTCCTCATTGATGTACTTCTTTTTCCAGCTTTAAGTAGAGATCTCTCCTCTGTCCTCACAGTAAGGGATTCAGAGAAGGAAACAGGGAATCCTTATGCAGAGTTCCACCTCAGTTGGGACGCAGTGGTGCTCAGATGGCCAGCTCCAGCCAGGTCAGTGGTATGTCAGTCATGCAGTGTGTCACATTGCCTGTATTGACCTCAGGAAGACCATCATCTTCTGAATCCAGGAACTGATAATTGACTGCGTTTCCGGGAGAGATAGAGAGGCAAGAATAAATAAAAAAAAGAAGTAATATTTAGGCAGCCTAGCTAGAATATCTAAATGTGGGGGCCCATGAAAACAAGAAGTGTCAGGGCAAGTGCAGGAACTCTCATTTTCATCTGAGAGCGCCATCTTCATTGTCAGATGAAGGAATGATGGAAGTTCCTGGGCAGTGATTGATGACTTACCCTTTCAGGGACTTCTGTCTTGCAATGTAAAGATTTAGTAGTGAGACTTTATTTTCAAAAGTCTTGAAAAAGCTTAACTATTTTAAATTCTGCGCGCCTGTCCAGACATGTCTTTCTCTTTAATTAAGGGGACTCTGGACTCCTCTATTAGAGTGTGCTAAACACCAAAGATTCCTCTTACTTCAGCAGGAGTGAGGTGTATTACATATCCTAGAAGGACTTTGGACAATTTTTTTTTCATGCACACGAAACAGCAGATGAACAGGACGATGTCATTCTCAATAAACCTGAGAACTGAAGTGGTGTGGAGGAACAAGCAATATGCACCAGGTGATACTATTTTCTCCAGCAGCGATGTCAGCCATTCACAGATGGAGCACTTAAAAATGCAAGTGATCTGATTCCTGGGAGGCCATTTTTTTCCATATTGGTATGCTGGAGCCATTAAACTAGTCTGCATAGGCTTTTTGTTGTAAAATCCACAGTGGCAGATGTTGATGAGCTATTCACTACATAAAGGGTTTGTCAGTCTCTGCTTATATTCTCCTCAAATTAGATGCTGGTGGATAGAAACTCAGTGGAAGCAAGAGATGCTTTGCTGTATCTAGTCTCGGTGAAAAATAGTATGTCTTGCATTCAGGTAAGCTTGCTGCTGGTGCTTCTCTCAAAAAGCTGGGACTTAAAACTCCAGGATCTTTCTGTTGTTGTTCAGAATTTGCCTGCATTTCTGATACAAACTGTGGACTCGAGCACTGCGTTAGCAAGCACGTGATCTGGAGCTCAAGGCTCAGAAGTGGAACAACTAAAGTAAAGACAACGCTGATACGATTTTTGCTTCCGAAGGTTCAACAATAATGGGGAAGAAAACTGAGCAGACAGTCCTTGGACAGCCAGCTATATTCTATTTCAAGACAAAACGTAGAGACTATATCTTATTAATATGTGTGGAGGAAAAAAAAAAAAAAGGTGTCCCATCCTCTTGCTTCGATAGGACAGTGTTTCTAGATGCATTGTCTGATTGTGTTACTTCCACCGATGCGGTGCAGGTCTTACTTACGTCTTTTCACCAAACTTCCAGCTACCTCCGAAACCCAAACCTCTCCATTTTCTTTTTAACTCCATACTGCCCGGCCCTGCCTGGCATTGACAGAAGTTGTTGCTGGTTTCCTTGTCACCCACTGCACGGCGACAGCCCGTGGGGAAGTGGAACGGTCAGCACCACGGTCAGCTGCCCCGGGTGGCTGGATGGGTACCATGGACAGCGACCGGTGGGACACTGAATGCAGGAGGCGTTTTCAAAGCCCAGGGCAGCTTCCAGGAAAGCTGTCCCCTTCAGCATGGAAGAGGGTTTCGGTGTGGACAGCCAAAATGTATTTGGACCTTCTGCAGGATCATGAGTTAGCCGACGCGTGTATATCTGCTCCTTTTTGTTCAGCAATCTTACATTTTCCCCAGGGATCTCAGGTTGCTTTCTGTATAGTTGAGGTTGGTCTTTTGCGATTGACCTGCGTCAAATTCCTGTGTCGTATCCAGAAGCCAAAGAATCTGTGAGTCTGACACTAATGTGTCCTTCAGCTGCCTCCCAGAAGAATACTACTTGCTTTTTCCCATTCAAATGGAGAAACCCTGCTTATCAGAATTTTGTCTGAAGAGTTTCTCAGACTCTTAAGTGTCTATGATGAGTTTTTCTGTGTGACTTTCAGAGTGTTTGGGAAATGCTCAATAGTCTCACAGGTTTTAAATTCCATTTACATCAGTCTAGCTAACTTACTGTATTTTTTCCAAATCTCTCCTCCTTTTATGAAGTGAAAACTATTTTTCTATAATTTTACTTTCTTTTTTAGAGATGTCATTAAATGTCTTAAGGTTTTTCCTGTTAAGTTCTTTAATTGAAACACTGTAGTTTGCCATTCCAAAAGCTGGATGATCTTAATAAAAGAGCTATTTAAGAGGATAACATATTATGTATTTCTACATCAGTTGCTTCTCCAGTTTTGCTCAGCTGCAAGGGAATATCATACGCAGCATTCAAATAACATTGCCGATAGATTCAGTAGGCAAAACAGGAATATAAGTAGTTCTGGTGATAATAGCTTAGCTTTTATGCATCAGAGAGATCAAACATTCACTTTCTTTTTTAAACATGCATAGGATTGATAATTCTGTGCCTGCAGCTATCATAATTTTGAGGGAAAGGAAAAAAAACTTTGGTAAAAAGAAATATTTTTATTAGCAATGCTTTTGGATTAGTTCTTAACTATGTTTTTAATTTCTGCTTCATGTAATGTTTCTTTGGTTTTAAAAATGTTTCATCATTGATGCTACTAAACTTCGCTCTATGTGTCTGTGTATAATCTTACTGATGTCCAAACCCATGTGCCTACCTGGGTTCCCCCTCCTTCAGGTCATCAACATGTCTTTGTGCTACATTCCTCTCTTCCACATTGCCATATGTTCACATCTTCACATCTACCCTTTTTCCCTTTCCCTACTGAGCACTTGATGCCTCTCCTTCCTCCTACTTTCTTGACTTCTGTTTTACCTCCAATTCAGCCAAAATCAGAACATGCAGATAACCCATCTTTTGGCACATCAGCTGCTAAAGCATAGCTAGGATGCTGTGGGCGGACACTTTTTTTTTTTTTTTTTAATTCCAGCATAAGACAACCTGTTCTTATTTTAGACTAACCTACTTTTGAAAGTGCATGTTTAAAATAAGGTTAAAATAGTGCTACTGTTCTCTGGGGTCAGCGTTTCACATTGAGTTATTTGGGAATATCTTGTTCTTCAAATTCAGTCTTTCTAAGTTCACAATAAATTTTAAGTCTGGGTAGACACTCATTATGGGATTCAAAGTCTGGTACAGTTCACGTAGGCTCCTCTTCACTTCGTTGAGATTGAGATAAAAATTCTAGTTTTAGTATCTCATGCTTATTTCTTTTTTCTGCTATTTCTGTTCTAAGTCATCACTTCAAGTTTTCTTTCTTTGCTTCTTGATTGTCCTATTAGGTTTTTTCCCTTCATTTTTACTGGAATGGAAAATTTATCTTCTTATATCTGACCATGTTTGGGAGGCACGTGGATTAGACTTTTTCAGATCTTTCTGGAAAATAGTTTGGGGAGGTTTGTTCTGTCTTGAGTCTGAGTTCGATTGCGAGCAGTTTTTTAATGACTTATTCTCCAGTAGAAAGCTGATGGAGCTGGGTAGACCTTCTCTTTTTTCTATAATTCCCTAGACAGTGATCTCAGGATGGCCGTATCAGTATTGCTTCTGGTAATTGTATTAGGTTAACAACCACATAAGGCTTTGCTGGCTTCATAATGCGAACAGGTTTTTTAGGTGCTTAACCAGTGTCCTAACAAGATATTTTTTTTTTGTTAACTGCTACAGTTCATTGCAATATTTTTGTATATGTACATATATACAGGCATGTATTTATTAGTGTAACTACAGTAATTATATGTTAAATTAGCTATTTTTATTCTGTACTAATTTATGAATTTAACTGAAGAGAGGGTACTTCAACTGGTTTCCTGTAACAAGAGGGCATAAAAATATCTGGTACAGTCTTTCAAATTTCTGTTCCTTTAATATTTAAGATGTTGCTCGATTCTGATTCTGTATAGCATGTGAACATAGAGAATATATTTCACAGTGACTGAAATCCTTACAGTACTAATGTATGTGTTAAATGTTACATAAACGTGTATTGATAGAAAATCACTTTGTTTTGCTATAGGGGATGTCCCACTTTGGTGCAAGCATTACCAGGTCCTAGTACACAAGTTACTGCTGGGAGCAACCATACAGCTATTCTCTTAATGGATGGCCAGGTTTTCACATTTGGAAGTTTCTCAGTAAGGAAATAATAATATTTACTTATGGGAATAAGCTATTAATTAATTTGTTGTTCAAAGGCCTTTCAAAACTGCTTATACTTGCTATGACAGAACTGCTCGTGACTTTTGCTTGTCTTTTGTGCCTGTTACGGTTAAAAATGTGGCCGCTAATATTGTTGTGGTTAGAAAAGCATGATGGTAGAAATTCTGGGTGATTTTTATATTTTAATGAAGGTGGTGGTTTCAAACTGGGTTATTTTACAAGGTGTACCAATTTGAGAAAACTCTTATTGTTGCAAACTCGGTTGCAAATAAGTGTCTCTTGCATATTCTATTATTTTTCTGTCTGCATTTGTTAGAAAAAATAAGTGTCCTGTTTTCTTTCATAGGAATGGTTGCAGAAGTTATGCTTAGAGTTGAGGAGATAGTATTGTTCAGTATAACACAGCATAACTCTGGTACTCTTCTTTCATATCCACGTGACATGTATTCTCCTATGTCTATGTGGAATCCATTCTTATATTCACAGAATAAGCACTTCAACATCGTTTAGTTTCATTCATCCTGACTTCAGGCTTTTGTGCCTCCTTGTCCTCCCCTCCCACTGCAATCTATCCAGAGTCATCTGCTGTTCGTGCTTTCCCACTAATGTTCTTTTGGCAAGAGCTAAGCTATAGATATTGAGCTATTTTTGTATGCTTTTAAAACTATGTACTGCCAAAGATAACAGAAGAGAAATTGCACCTTTTGAAATCTGTCTTTTTACAATAAAAAAAGAAAAAAAGTTGAAGACTGAAATTTTAGAAGTGGAAAATTGTATTTTGAATTAAGTATGCCACAAGATGGCTCTTTGATTAGGTAACATTTTGTTGTTTTTCAGACTTTTAGTAAGAGCTTTGGTGTCCCATGTTTTTATCAAAAGTGACTTGGACACATAAAAGTTTAAGCTTTGGGGACCTGCAGTGAAACTTAGCTACTGAAAAACCAAATTCACCCTCAGAAATAGGATTTTACAGCCTGTCTGTTGACTGAGAGTTTTTTCTTTTTCCAGAAGAAAAAAATAAATTTAGACTGTGTTTAAACCACCTGTTCTAAGTGTCTAGTTTTAATATTGTAATACTTGAAACTTTGTTGAAAGCTTCATAAAGTCAAGATAAGCTCAAAAGCAAGCATAGCTCTTGAAAATGTCTTGACTAAGTTTACTTACAGTGTCAGGTAGAAAGAGAGATGAGTAACATGCCGGGCAGAAGATATTTGCTGCACATGCGTGTTTCTTCTCCCTTACCATTCTAAATAAAAAGTTAGCTTGACTTCATTAGCCTGCAATGAATTTCCTTTGCCTCGGTGAGGGAGATGGAGTCTGAGCAGGTTTATTGCAGTTCTTACGACATACTTCGGTACAGTATAAGAACTGTTGGTCCATCTCACAGTAACTAGTTGTATGTAGGAGATGAGGCCCTAGATCTCCAGGTCAGGATGTTAATGAGCATATGCAGAGGTGCTTGCTTAGACACTTTATGCTCATTTTAGCTCAAATTTGATGTCCTAATTGATTTCTAGGTACTTATAAGAGGTATTTGGTGTGTAAGACTTACAGTTCATATTATTTTAGAATTGAGTGGAATTTGGACTGTCTGAATCTGAATGTACTTTTTTTTTTTTTCCCCTATTAACTCATTCCTTGTTTAGCGCTGAAGTTATTCAGATACTAGGTACTGAAGGAGAATAAGACTTCTATACTTGATCCTGAAGATGGAAAGGAAGGTTATCCATACTGGAGAGTTTGAGTTGCATTAAAAAAAAAAAGTTACACTCAAAAATTTAACTGAATATGGAGGAGAACATCTGTCAGTAACTTGTTCCTTTTATTTAAAGATGTAATGCTTCACTTGCAGTAACAATTGCTTTTTGAAAGTAATTTTGTGGCAAGCTCTCTCTTCCATACTACTAATGTTGTATGCTGAAGCTACTGAAGTAATTTGTTTGTCTTTGAGACTTACTGTTACTGTTATTTACTAATTCTTGCATTCTCCCTATAGAAAGGTCAACTTGGTAGACCAATTCTGGATATGCCCTACTGGAATGCAAAACCAGCACCTATGCCTAATATAGGCTCTAAATATGGACGCAAAGCAACATGGATTGGAGCGAGTGGAGACCAGACCTTTCTCCGGATCGATGAAGCTCTCATTAATTCTCATGTGCTTGCTACATCAGAGATATTTGCAAGCAGGCATATAATAGGCAAGACCTCTTCTATAATATTTTAAATGCTTATAGAAGTATTGGAGAAAATACAGTTTCAGTCGTGCAAACAATAGAGGATCAACAAGTCAAAAACATGAATAGGGGGAATTAAAATATTTTTACTTTCTAGTTATACTGCACGTGGTGATCCTAGCTCCTTTAGAAATTAATTTTATCAAAAGAAAGAATGTAAAAGTCTAAGCTTTTCTTGCACTTAAATCTTACACTGCTACAGCAAAAAATAAACTGTAGTATCTGTTCTTCCCTACTACATTAATGCTTCATGCATAAAAAATGCCATGTAATGAGTGGAGTCTTCATGTTTTTCTGGTCTTTTTGCTCTTTGATTTAGGTTTGGTACCAGCTTCAATATCAGAACCTCCTCCTTTTAAATGTCTTCTGATAAACAAAGTAGATGGCAGTTGCAAAACATTCAATGATTCTGAACAGGAAGACCTTCAAGGTTCTGGTGTGTGTCTGGATCCTGTCTATGATGTTATTTGGAGGCAAGTGTGGATTATAGCTATTAAGGTCATAGTATAGAAACCTTTTTAAAATATTTTGGGAGGCTGGAGATTTGATTATGCTCATTTCCCTAGTAAATAAAAGACAACTTTTAGTCTTCCATGTATCTTTTCTCACAGTTTTTAGAAGATTTGGTCAAGTAAGCCCAAAACAAACATCTTCTCTTGGCCTTTTTTTTTTTTTTTTAATTCCTTTTTGGTTTTGCATTATTCTCATTTGTCTCATGATGTTCAGGGGAGTCAAATCTATTCTACTTGTTTACTCTTTTTATTCTTCCCTTGCTTTTCTCCATCTACTTAACACTTCACAGAATAATTTTCTTGCCATACCCAGCTTCCACAGTCTCATGTTTTATATCTTCATCCCTCTCTCACGTATTAGTGGTTACGATTTAAATAGGAGAAGGGGTGGAGAAATAGTATTCTTTTCAGTTCTGACATTTTGGGAGGTCAAAGTAAAAACACTTAAATGGCATAGACATTCAAATTATGATTGTATTTATTTCACAGTCTTCAGGGTGGTTGCTTTCAGTGGAGTCTTTGGGCAGGCATAGATCATAAGCCCTTGTTCCAAGACAGAATCATAACATCCAATTCTTCTGTAATGATTTAAAAGCTATGTCAACCAGGATCTGGGAGAGAAATTTAAACTGTCACCTTGAGTGTAAGTGATGGATGATGTTTAAACTCTTTGAAGACTTAGGCAAAATGAGAACAATCACTTACTGTTAAAGCAGGGAACCAGCTAGCCTGAACTCCTCTGGAAAAGACAGTATCACGTAGGATCATATTGTTAAAAGGTCATTATGTCCATAGGCTACTTGCATCCTACTTCGGATGCCTTCATCCAAAATGGAGATTCAAGAACTTAAAGCCACTTAGCAAACATGGATGCTTCTATGTTAGGCATGTTCCTTTATGACATCTGGGTAGCATCTGTAGCACCTGTAGCACCCACATCCCTTAAAGCTCTCAGTCATGATATCATCAGCATGATTAAACACACTGAAAGACTCAATTTATGAAAAATGCAGTTATCAATAGCCATGGGAAAGCAGCAAGTTTCAGGGAGGAAAAAGTGATGACACTCAACTTTACCACCGTAAAATGGTTATTCACCTTGAGTCACATGTTAAAGATATTCTGGGTAAACATGGGTTGAGGTGTTCTATTGTCTTGCAGAATTTTGGGGACTTTAGAATTAAATCTAGAGCTTAAATACTTTAACCGAAGAATGGATTCTTAGAGTCTGCACAAATTTATTTCTTTGTTGGATCCCATTCTTGCTTAATGGAAAATATTAAAACAGTCTAGAGCAGAGACATGTTAATGAATATGCCAATTAGTAGTGAAGTATTTGGTATATTAATTACTATTCCTGGGCATTTTTACTCATGCCTATTTATATGAAGGCGGGGGAGTTTATCTGTACAGAGACAGCATTCTTGAATACATGGATTTTAAATATTTTCTTCATAGTTTTGTGACTTTTTCAGGTAGTAGTGAAATTCAAGAGGTTAAACTAATTTTGTGGGTGTATAAACTTGCACATTGCTAACTCATTGAAATCCTGAATACATATTACGTCCTATAATATTTTTAGTTAAAAGTATTTATTTCTCCGTTAGTTAGCCCACCTTAGCTCCACTTGGATTTTTAGAACAGTTGTACCAAGTGAAAGTTCCTTTTGTGCTTATTCGGAACACTCCCATAGGTCTGCTGTTTCTTCCTTTTACATAGTAATATCAAAGACTTCATTTTTTTCATTTTCTTTTTCTCCATGTTAATCTGTACTATAGAAAGTCTTTGTATTCCCTTGTTTATGCTGCCCTTTTCTATAATCCCTTAAAAACTCATGAGGTGATGTTATCCATTTAAAAAAGACCAAACAAAATATGTTGGATTTCTCAAGATCTTTTTACTCTTATTTGAAGGTGAGTAACCCTTTTACTTTCAGTTGGCATCTTTATCATTTTCGAGCACATCTGCTATTGTATCTAGTACTTGCTAGTTACTTCATGCTTCTTAATAGATGGTATTGTTTTAATATTTATTAGCTTTGAAAAGTGTCTTAACGTTTTCTGAAATTTGTAAACCCGTAATATGGCTGTTTGACTTGAAGTACAATAAGAATGTTTTTGTGGCTTTCCATTTGCTAGTGCATTAAACTAGTAAAGTTTATATGTATTTGGTGTAATGATGTTCAGTTTTAAGAGTTTGTACTAGTAGATCTACATTTTTCATAAAATAGCTTATAAAATTTAGTTATCAGTTAGATTTTTGTATTTTTTAGTAGGTGAAAGGTTTATATATATTATTTTTTTTTACTCTGTTTTGTCTTGCTCTAGGTTTCGACCAAATGCCAGGGAACTGTGGAGTTACAATGCAGTAGTTGCTGATTCCAGACTTCCCTCAGCTCCAGACATGCAATCCCGGTGTAGTATTTTGAGTCCAGAACTTGCTTTACCAACAGGTTCCAAAGCTCTGACCACCAGATCTCATGCAGCTTTGCACATTCTAGGTATACATTTATAGTTGATGAGTCAGGAGCTTATATGAAATAAAGAAACATTACTTAATGCATAAATGAATTGTAATCTAACAGCTTTCTGACTTTGAGTTAAAATTTTACTTTGTAGTCTTTTGCTGTTACTCTTAATTAACACTTATGGTCTGCCTGATATGCATTAATTTTAATCAAAATAGTTACCTTCTGCTGTCTTAATGATGCTAGAGGATTTTAGAGTTCTGAAGGAACCTGCTACTAGAGGTCAGCGTAATAAAGTAAAAGACTTTTCTAGGTGATCTTTTTGGACAGTTTGCAGAATAAAGTTAGTAGTGTCAAGTTAACCTGAAGTCTCCAAAAGACGGGGGAAAAAAAAGTGCTCTTAAATATGCTATTTTTATTTTAGAGTAAATGCAATGTCTAAAATCAGAATTCAACTCTTTGCAGTTTTGTATAGAGGGATGCTAAAAGTGATAGGATTTTATTTTGTAGTGTAAAAAGCCTACCAAACCAAAAAATAATCCCACTGTGTTTATGTATAAACTGGCCATATGCAACATATGCAATGCTTCAGGGCACAGCTTTGGAAGTTATTTTGGCTCATTGCTCACTGATTGTGAGGAGTGTTCAGTCCATTGTCCTGCTCCCTTCAATGTGTGTTAGAGAAATTTTAACTTGAACAGTACTTTTTCTGTGTCTGAGTCAGAGTAAGGCATGTTAGGTACTCAAGTACTGGAACTTGCTACTAGAGGTCAGCATAATAAAGTAAAGACTTTCCTAGGTGGTCTTTTTGGACAGTTTGCAGAGTAAAGTTAGCACTGTTAAGTTAACCTGGAGTCTCCAAAAGGCAGGGGGGGGAAAAAATGTGCTCTTAAATAAGCTATTTTTATTTTAGAGTAAATGCTATATCTAATATAAGGATTCAGCTCTTTGCAGTTTTGTATAGAGGGATGCTAAAAGTGATATGATTTTATTTTGTAGTCTAAAAAGCCTACCAAACCAAAAAATAATCCCACTGTGTTTATGTATAAACTGGCCACATGCAACGTACGCAATGCTTCAGGGCACAGCTTTGGAAGTTATTTTGGCTCATTGCTCACTGATTGTGAGGAGTGTTCAGTCCATTGTCCTGCTCCCTTCAATGTGTGTTAGAGAAATTTTAACTTGAACAGTACTTTTTCTGTGTCTGAGTCAGCGTAAGGCATGTTAGGTACTCAAGTACATGAAACAAAATGCCTTTTTTGAAGGCTCTCAAATCTGTCCATAATTCACTGCTACTTCAACTATTTTTTGATAATATGTGAAATGTAAAAAGGAAAAAAAAAATGTTGCTGGCAATTTATTTACCATTGGAAAAGTTGCAAAGCCAATTTAATCACATTTCTTGGTCATTATGGAAATTAAATAAATTAAATTAAATGGATCTTCAGTAGTGAACCCTGAGATTCTACAGCAGTGTCCCCTGACCAAATCAAAACTATAATGATATTTGGTAGTGTATGTGTGGTTTAGGGTCAAAACAGTTAGGTTGCTTTGATCTTTTTAACTGGTATTTATTTCCATTTAACTGATTATAAGCAGCAGTAAGAAATTTTGAGTTGTTTTTTGGTTTTGCTTTCTTTTAGGTTGTCTTGATACTTTGGCTGCTATGCAGGACTTAAAAATGGGTGTAGCAAATACAGAAGAGGAGACCCAAGCAGTAATGAAAGTTTATTCTAAAGAAGACTATAGCATTGTTAACAGATTTGAAAGTATGTACACAGTAAAATTTTATAGCGCAAGCTAATCAGGCTTATGGAATGAAAGACTAAAATAGATTAACTGTATTTTTATTGTTTTGGTTTTTTTCTGTAGGTCATGGAGGAGGCTGGGGTTATTCAGCCCACTCAGTAGAAGCTATCCGTTTCTGTGCCGATACAGATATTTTGTTAGGTGGTCTCGGTCTTTTTGGAGGTAGGGGTGAATACACTGCTAAAATAAAGGTAAGGTTTGTTTGGTTTTGTTTTAAACAATATTAGAACTGTAAACTAGAACTAAAATCAGAACTGGAGAAATGCCACCTAAAACCATGATTAATTTTAGTTCTTGATGGATGAGTGGTAAAAGCATTAGTAATAGAACTAGAAGAAGGCTTCTCACTATGAAGTAATGACCCTTATGCAGGTAACGTGGGTGGAGTAGAGATCTGAGAATTACTATTCTTAATGGTCAACAATTGGCCCATTCTTACCTTCACTAAACACTATGCCGTCTTACTGGTGTCTTGAGCAAATATGGTAGTGGGTCAAATGGTTCTGTGATCTATTTACACAAAGCTCAGAGGTCCACCTGCAATAAATTGGTCTTTTTGAACTTAGAGTCACATCCTGTGTCAGGATACATGAGGAGCTGTTTCTTAAAAACGGAGAGTGCTTATCAGTAGCTGGAATTCCTTAGGTACCAGCTGGGCCGTTGCTTCCCATGGTCCCTGCCTCTTCTTTCTCAGACAGACTCTCTGGACAGCTTCTCAGCTGGGATTCTTCAACTGAAAGGGAATGGCACCAAGCATACTTCACTCTGCTTTGTGCCAAACGTGAGGGTGATTAGGGCTGGAGAAAATTAAATAAATAAACGAACTGGCTTTGGATAGAAAAGCTCCCATAAACACCCAGTGTGATAACAGAGCTCTGGTCTCTGATAAGTAGCTCCTGTTCCTGCATTTAATAAGGATTTCAGAAACTCCCAGAAAGACTTTGTAAAGGCAGGATCTAGTATCTGTCTGAGGTTTATATTACATGTATACATTCAGAATATATTATTGTTGTAATTTGTCATTTAGTGAGTTATCGAGTTTTCTTTTACTTTTTTTCAGATTACTAGGTATTAAGGGGTGTTTCAGGGAAATGGAGGCAGTAAAATGTGCATAATTTGGACAGGAGATCCAAAATAAGTAGTTGTGCTTTATTCTAGTTTAACACAATGACTGAGAATTGCAAATGATTAAGGAAAGCTAAGAAACTTAAAAAAATAAAATCACGCCAAAAAAACCAACATGGCTAACATTTAAATATTAAAAGGTAGTAACCATATGAAAGTACTTTAGTATTATTTTTCCAATTTGTTTCTGGTTGTCTAGAATTAGCTTATAGCCAAGATAAGATTTGCCAGTCCTACCACAGATAAACTGTGTATTAACTAGGTATTTGCAAGAGCAGTCATAGACATGTATTGTGGTCCTCTTCCAAACTCATCAAGCTGTAGAAATGATTTTTGACCCAAGTTCTTTTGAAAAAGATACCATCTTTTGTCCTAGTCACCAACTGTTTAGGACAGTATTGACTAGCTCTGCTAAAACAGTCAAGGTGTCCCTTTCCAGAGGAGCTGAGTGTATCTTCTGTGGATTTCAACCTATGATGGAAAGCCTGCGCTTTCGCCCAACTTTGCCTCTTTTAGATGCTCTGTATCTGATTTGCCTGCAGGATTTAGGGAGTTTCTCCACTTTAAAATATATCTGGCCGTAAAGCTGGGAGATCAGTGTCAATTGCTATTTCTTAACAATTAATGATATTACCAGATCCTGACTTCCAGGTGGGAATTTGCCTGTCAGTGATAGTAACTCGTAATTACTTTTGGGAAGGGAAAAGAATAGTAGTGGATAGTTTCCAGAATGCCAGGCATGAAGAAGTGGTAATATGAGGTTTTTAACACCTCAGTTGTATTTTTACCTTTTTTCTTATTCCACCAGTTGTTTGAATTGGGTCCAGATGGAGGAGACCATGAGACTGATGGAGACCTTCTTGCTGAAACAGATGTCTTAGCGTATGATTGTGCTGCTAGGTAAGATATTTTCCTTGCTTACTTCTGCCTACTTCTTGGTCTTTGTTTTTACTTTATTCATACACATTTAAAAATCACTTTAAATGCCAACAGAGATTATCTACATCGTTAGAAGTTTGTAACAAGTGATGTAAAACTTACACTTAAACAAAGTGTGTTGGGTAAAGTGGTAAAACACCAAATACCTCACCAAGCCATTATGGTACTAAATTAAAAGAATGAAAAATCATCTTACGCTTGCTCTTGTATAAATCAAAGTCAAATCCCATATTCCTGTGTTGCAGCAGCTCTTTTGAATACTTCTATCAAAGGGATGCTGTCAAGCCCAAATGGGCATTTGCATTGAACAACTCCAGCATTAAACTTACTGCAATAAGAAATCATCATAATCAAAAGAGGGGTTATTGTACTCATCCGTTGTACAGCTCATTAGAATACAAGAAGTTATTGCTTGAAAGATTTTGTGCATATTGATAGGGTTAACCATGTTTTAACTGCTTTGTTGTTCCCTGTTATGAAAAAATTCAACATTCAGGTAATCCATGACGGCTTTTTGTAGGTTTAATTCTTAGATATCAATACCCCTAAATATATATTTCTTAAACATTCATGTGTAATTTCTAAGAATGTATGAATAGGCTCTTGTCATTTACAAAAAACCCCTGAAATTTAATTGAAAGAACATAATGAATACTTCAATACTTTACTTGCAGTAATTATATATGAAGTGTAATTGGGTTTGTGTGTGTTAATTTAACTTAATCTCTGCTTACTCTATTTGGCGTTTGATATCTGATTGTTTCAAAATGCAAGTTCAGGATAGACTTAGGCTTTTGTAGGTCCTTCTGAATTAATATTTTTTTAATTATGACAATATTTTTCAATGAAATATTTTAAAAGTTTGACTACAAATAGATACTTGAGTTTAATAACTTAATTCCATTAATTTTCAATTTTCTTTTATAAGCAGGGTGTAATTTGTTAAAAGAATAATCTAAAAACTAATTCACATATCTCCTTTTAAATATTTTACTTCTCTCAGAGAAAAGTACGCAATGATGTTTGATGAACCAGTACTTCTACAAGCTGGCTGGTGGTATGTTGCCTGGGCAAGAGTGTCAGGACCTAGCAGTGATTGTGGATCTCATGGACAGGCCTCCATTACTACAGATGATGGGTACGTTTTTTGTCTATATCTTTTAGTGCAAAAGAAGAAGTCTAATATTACTTGATTAGTAATTGGATTATTTCTCTTTCAGGGTTGTATTTCAGTTTAAAAGCTCCAAGAAATCAAATAATGGTACAGATGTTAATGCAGGTCAGATCCCACAGTTACTATACAGGTAATACTTCGACCTCTATTTATAGCCATTTATTTACATGTTTTTTAAACAGAAGCCCTGTTAAAGTAAGAATATGTTCCATGAAATTATTGTTGTATCAAGCTAAGGAAATCAGTATCTGAAAGTTTTCCCTAAAACTTAGTGTCTTTGGTAAGTAATAAATCCGTTATACCAACATTTATTTCTTTGCAATTTTTCTCACAGTCATTCATCTGAGAATTTAATTTAGTTTTATGGAGCCTCATGATTTCACCTAACGTCCTTCAGTTTTTTGCTAGTTGGGAAGTATTCTATTTATTAGGCCTCAGTTTAGGAGCAGTATAGTATCAAACGGATTATTTTAATGAAAACAAACAAATAACAAGTTGTGCTTTACAGTAAGTTACCATAAATTTGTTATTCCCATGATAAATGTTATGTAACCATGTTTTAACAAGAAAGAACTCTTTCACTGTATTGCAAATAGATTTTGCAGATTTCCTCGGATACATACAAGACATAATTTTTATATTTTATGTATATTTATATCTTTTTCCCCTTGCCCCCACGTTGATTTGGTGTTGCTTTTTGTTTGTTGTGCAGATGTCTATTTTTGTCAAAGTTAGGTTGATGGTTGGACAAGATGATCTTTAAGGTCCCTTCCAACCTAGAAGATTCTGTGATTCTGAAACTGGGAATTTCTTCATACCACTTCCCTTGCAATGTCCTTTCTAAGCATGTCTTTTTCAGGTTCCCTTACCAGAACAGCTCACTTTTGCTGGAAAGCTTTCTGTCCATAGACCCCTATCTCTCCAGAGAAAGTTTTCTTTTTGAGCAATGCACATAAAGTCCTGGCATATCCTATTAATTGTTTGGGTGGTTTCTATGGGGGCATGGCTGTTGCCAAAGACAAACAAGCCTTGGGGCTTCTGAAGGAAGGATATGGCTGAAGAGCCATGAGTAGCACAAAATGAAAGGTGCTGCAGTAACAGGTGCTGCCTGTTTTTTTTACCTCCACATATATTTTACCTCCACAAAACTAGTGTTCTTTAAGACATTTCTAGTCTTATAAATGTAATCTGAACAAATATAGCAAATACTTGTAATAATCTCATATGTCATTAAATCTCAACTTTATTATTGATTGTCAAATCTTGCCAGTTGAACAGAATTCAAGATACTTGATTACTGGTTTAGCAGGATTAGGAACTGGAGGAAGTTGTGCTGAAATTGAACATTATTTACATAATTGCCCTCCACTTTTCTTCCACTTCTGTTCGACTTGAACAGTACAAACAGTAAAAACTGCTAAAAGTAAAAAGTGTAGTTTTCATGTCAGTTCTTATATTGTTCTTCCAGGTTGCCAACAAGTGATGGCAGTGCATCCAAAGGAAAGCAGCAAACCAGTGAACCTGTACATATTTTAAAGAGATCTTTTGCCAGAACTGTCTCAGTGGTGAGTATTACCAGGAATCTTCTGTGTTTTCTGCAAGTTCATTCATACTTACGAAACTGAAAGACATACATGTGGAAAGAACTAAGGATTTTTTTTCTGTCTACTTTATCAAGCAGAAGTTAGGTACATTGATCCATAGAACATTGTATTTTTTTACTTTTTCTGAAGATTTCAGATGGAAGCTTAAATATAAGCTAAGCTTGATATTAACCTGAGCAAGAGAGCCTAGAAATATACTTTTTACAAGGTTGACCTACTTAATCTTGGGGTTTTTTTGGAGGGGGTATGGGGTTGAGTTCATACTAGCTGTATTCAATATACAAGCCTTACTCCATACTGAGAAATTTATATTAGCAGGATTTTTAGATTTTTGAGGGAGCTTTACTATATGCTGTTTTCAGTTGCTTTTAAATTACTGTGATTAATTAGTCACTGGTGACATTCATCTTCCTCTTGGATACATTCCAGTATACAGTGACAATCAGATAGCATTTAATTGAACTTTGATAAGCTGAGGTAAGGAATATTAATAGGCTCAGAGAACTGCAACTATTAATAGAAGGTAGTCTGCAATTCTTGACATACAATGAGCTTAGTCAAATTTTGAGGAATACTGCATTAAATTGAAATGCAATCTTATCATGCAGGATAAGCCTATAATTCAGTCTTCATGTTTTTGAAGTACAGTCCCTCCCCATCTGTTACAAGCAATGATTAGTTTATTTTCAGTTCCATTCCGGTTTATATTTTATACTGTATTACTATCAGTATTCTCAACTGATAGTTACATTAAAGTTATTGCATCCATGGGGACACTTACAGTCTCAAGCAGCTTGCTTCCTTTCATTTAGGTATTCTCCATTTCTCCAGTATTCTCTAATGATCAGGTTAATCTCCTCTTCAGGCTTCTTCTAGGAATGTATTGTCTACACAATTTGCGTTTTTAGTAATCACATTATTGATATATTAATAGCTACTCTTAATATGTGTTGCTTAAAAATATTTGCATTAAGCTTTGAACTCCTATGGCCTTTAATACCTCACATTGTATCCTCCCTCGACGTTCTCTTACTGCTGCTCTCCCTCACTAGAGATGTGAATTAGGTTAAGAGGAGAGTATTTGCTTTCTGGAGCATTAAGCAGCATTAATCAGCTTGATTGTTGCAGCTTGATGGTATTCAATACTAAATATTTGTAGTTTGCCTTCTGAGGTACAACTTTATGAAACTGTCAACCATATTTAATAACAGTAGAGACAAATTTTTAGACAAGGAAATCTTTTTAAATCCTCAACTTTGTTGTGGACTATGACGTGCTTCTATTCACCTTTCAACAGAAAGTGTGAATGTGATATTGTTCCCATACATCTGCAGATCATAACTGTTTAAAAACAAAGCAGAGACAGCCCTGATAAGTCTTTAAGGTTATTGCAAGAATATATTATGTTAAAAGTAGGTATTACACAATTTGTATGCAGACAAAATAAAATTTACTGAAGAACCTGTGTTACAGGTGAACACAAACAGTTGTGAGTTCTTAAATTACTGAGAGACTTCCAAACACATTATAAATTGCTTTTAGCATGGTGTTACAGTGAAATGTTTCCTACATTCTCAGTGCTCTTTTTAATTCTCATGCAAATAGGATTTGTGTGTCCTGTGGTAGATGTGTATAGACATAAATATGTTTTCACAATAACCATGGATATAGGTGCTATTTGCCTTTTCATTTTACACTGCTAAAAGTTCACTTTTTGTTTTTAACACAAAATCGTATTTTCTGTCTCCTTCATACCCTGCAATAGGAATGCTTTGAATCTTTATTGAGCATTCTTCACTGGAGCTGGACAACACTGGTACTGGGAGTTGAAGAACTTCGTGGCCTTAAAGGATTCCAGTACACTGCTACTCTTCTGGATTTAGAAAGGTTGCGTTTTGTGGGCACTTGCTGCCTGAGGTTGCTGAGGGTCTACACCTGTGAAATATATCCAATATCAGGTATTCTTCTTAATTCATTTGCTTTATTTTTATTGGTAAGTAATCTACAAGACATTCAAAATTTGATCTAAATATTCATATAGGGTATGCTGTAAGATGAAATTGCTTATATGTATGATTTTATTGGAGCGATTAAGAAACTCCTTGTCAGAAATACAGTATTTGCAGTTATTTGCATAACCTAATGTCCAGCACTGCATGTTTACACTGTAACTTGTGTGTATTTTAAAGTTAATTTCTTGTTTGGCTTTACAGTTTAGTTCTTTTGGACTATTTGTATCTTCTTTTTTCCCCATTCTGTACCTAGTAGCTGCTTTGGTGCTGAGCACAATTTAAATTTGAAAGACAAGTATCTGTTTTTCATGCCTGTAGTTTAACAATGCTCATATTTAAAAGGCAGCATATATTACGAAAGCACAGAAAATTGGAAGTTTCTGGTGTTTAGGTTTCTTCAGTGTAATTTAACAGACTTCCGTGTTTTCCTTTTGAAATTATTTCTATGAATGTAGATTCATCAATGTTGCTAAATTCTAGTTGTTTTATTTGTATGTAAAATGTCTATTTTAATATGAAAATGTCTCATTTATTGTACATTTAATGCACCTCTTTTTGTAACCTTGTAGCTACAGCGAAGGCAGTTGTAGAAGAAACCAGCAAACTAGCGGATTGCATTGGGAAAACTAGGACCTTGCTGAGAAAAATTTTATCGGAAGGAGTTGATCATTGCATGGTGAAGTTGGACAACGATCCACAAGGATACCTCAGTCAGCCTCTCAGTCTTCTAGAAGCTGTTCTTCAGGAATGCCATAATACTTTCACAGCTTGCTTTCATTCATTTTATCCAACACCGGCTCTCCAGTGGGCTTGTCTCTGTGACTTGTTGAATTGTTTGGACCAGGTACATTAAAATGGCATGAGTAAATATTACAACTTAGCTTGCCCTTTTGCTCAAAGAGAAGCCAAGCAGTATTTAAAAACCTCTAAACCTTTTTTGTGTTTATTCTGGTTTGCAACTTGAATTCTGCTGTGGATTTGGTTTTTTACTAATTGGGTTTTGGTTGTTAGGAGGTTTTTTTGTTTGTTTTTGTTTTTAAAAAAAATGTGTCTAAGTTCAACAAGATCCTAGGAACTTCCTTTTGGTTTTTTACTAATTGCGTTTTGGTTGTTAGGAGTTTTTTTTGTTTGTTTTTGTTTTAAAAAAAAATGTCTAAGTTCAACAAGATCCTAGGAACTTCTGTCTCCCTTACCAGTAAGAATCTCTCTGTGACAGTGAAGAAAATTTGTGGTGCTGGTAACTGTCAGCACCTGCTTTTCCAGCGTTGAAGCCATGCCTTATATGTGATTACTCTTGCTGCGCTTTGCTTAGGGAGCATACATGTGGCATTTTTTATACTCATCACTAATACTTGAGTAATTTCTCATTATTAAATGTTACAACAGTGCTCTGAACCAGCAAAGTACATGAGAGACTGGCAGCGTTGTTCTATTAATCAAGAGCTTTCTTCTAAGTATCTTACTTATTGTGAACGAGCATCCCACATTAAACACTGTAGTTGCTTGCTTGCATTGATTGCAGTGAAATGTAAACAATTTGCTTCTTTGCATGAAAATTCATTTAGCATATAAAAATTCAAGGAATGATAATAGTTCTTTAATATATTATTCTCATTGAATTGTTTGATTAATTATAAGTACTTTGTCTTCAAAGGGTGCTATTATTTCAAAAGTACTTTTAAATGGGTTTATTATTTTCAAATATGTCAACCGATGAATTTTAATTACTCCAATTTGAAAGATCTAAATGGAAGCTCAAGAGAGAAGATAATGTAAAATTCACAGGAAAGCTAACAGTATATGATATCCTTTCTTTATTTTTATAATCACTGTAAAACTGGAAAGTTCCTTTCAAAAGTAGTTTCTCCTTCACCTACTTTGAATGCAGTGGTGCCGTTCTGTTAATTTCTTCTTATGTTTTTAGGACATCCAGGAAGCAAACTTCAAAACCTCCAGTAGCCGGCTTCTTGCTGCTGTGATGTCTGCTCTCTGCCACACTTCAGTAAAGCTGACCTCTATCTTTCCCATTGCTTATGATGGAGAGGCGTTGCTGCGGTCCATGGTCAAACAAGTCAGCACTGAGAATGACTCTGCTCTGGCCCATCGTTTTCCTCTTTTGGTTGCACACATGGAAAAACTTAGCCAGGTTAGGATATATTCCAAAAATTTAACAACCTGCTTTACTTTGTAACAAAAACCGTTCATGTAAGTTGAAGTTTTAGCTTTATAAGGATGTAGCTGAATATGCCTGAGTGTTTTCTTTCTAAAATGCTTGTTTCAGAAACCTATCATTTTATCCAATTTTCATCATCGTTCAGTCTGAAATATTCCAATTATTTTTTCTTTGGAGAATGTCTGAGCAAAAACTATTCTTATTTATTTTGGAACATTAGAAAAGCAGAAATATAGTTTAGAGTTTTCTTCTGCTGCATGGTGTTTTCTGCAACAGTTTTTCAGCTTTTCATGTGATCACAAGAATGAACATGTGGAGAGATTCAGTTTTTTGAGGAAGAGTCAACACAGCTTCGCTAATAGATAGTCATGTCTCTAAACTGCTTGCTGACTAAAGGACTCAGCACCAGGTGGACAAGGGTAGCCCAGTTCATATAGTTTTACCAAAGGTTATTGAACGATTTCCTAATCAAGGGCTCTCAAATGCTGTATTTTTGCAGTTCTGTTATTCCAGAGTAGCTTTACAGGAATGAAAAGGGTAAAGATGATAGTCAAAGATATGGGACTACTAAGTAGTATACTTCACTTTAGAAGACAAGAGGGGTAAGATGTTATGAAATTATGAATGTTGAATGAAAGATAAATAAAGGATAACTGTTGAGTCTTCCAATACTGAAAGTTTTGAGCAACCAGAGACCTTAGTGAAAGGTAAGTTCAAAAGATTGCATGTTCTTCATAAAATACACAGTTAAGCCACGAAACATTTATGTAGGTCATTATTATGCTAGAAGCTTTCACAGACTTAGAGAGCACCTGCACAAGTTAATGAAACAAAAATCACCAAAAGCTATTAAATACAAAGATAATATTTCCCTTTTGGGTACAATTTCCTCTTAACCGCTAAAGGAAGATAGAGTTCTGTGCAGGTTTGCTTGACAACATTGTCTTCCCTGTTTGTTCACTACTGTGGTATTTTTGGGAGCCAGAATGGTGAGAAAGACAAACTTTTGATTTAGTCAGGGGAGCTGATTTTACTTTTCCTTATCAGGAATGACTTCCAGTATGAATAACTGTTTTGGAAAACAGTGAATGTCACTGCTAAGTAGAAGACACAGTAGATGCCTAAGCTTAGGTTTGTTTCAAGTCTTCATTCAGTAAAGTAACAACTCCTTGCATAAGCATCCCACCACTGATTTTACCTTACCTGTTTGCACAGAAGATTCTCTTTGCTAACACCAAAGCCAAAAAGCTTCTGAGTTTCTTTTTAAGCAAGGGGGAAGACAATGATATGAAGAGTTCCACAAGTAGCTGTGTTTCTGTTCTATTCTAACCATACGTAGTATGGCAAGGAGGGCTGTAAGAAATGCTCTCTCCTGCGAAGGACACCTATATATCTTTCCAATAAAATAAGCAAAGTCCACACCACCTCATTCTGGAAATTAGAATATTAATAAATTTTTTGATAAAGGAATGCATGCTATGATAGTTTTGAGAATTTTTCATTATTCTTTTTTACCCTCTAGACGTTTCTTATTTTTAACAAGTCATGGATTTTTCAATTGCCTAATGCTTATATTGTGTGAAAATCAATGTGGTTTTATTTTAAATAAGAACAGTGTCATTTTTCCCATTTCTCTTCATAATGCAGAGTGAAGAAAATGTTTCAGGGATGACAAGCTTTCGGGAAGTGCTGGAAAAGATGTTGGTCATTGTGGTTTTACCAGTACGGAACAGCCTTAGAAGAGAAAATGAACTTTTCTCTTCCCACCTGGTGTCTAATACCTGTGGGTTGCTTGCTAGTATTGTGAGCGAGCTTACAGCATCGGCATTAGGATCTGAGGTAAAGCTTCCATGAAATAATTGCCAGACATCTTTCAGGACAAGTATATTATGAATGTGATACAGGCTGTGGTAGGAATTATACAGATGTGCAGATCTTTCACAGGTGCTGGAATTCTCAGTTCTCAACTTTCAGATGTTTAACATAAATTTAAAAGCCCGTATTCACTGTATTAAGGAAGTATTGTTTGATAATTAGCTACTTCATTATGGCTGAAAAGTACTGCAAATTATTTACAAAATGGTAATTTTCTTTTGAGTGTGTCTTTTTGCATGCATGTCTCTGCATGTGTACAGTCAAAATATATTTGTTTGGTGCTTACTGGAGACAGTGCCACACACCCGAGTATCTCTGCCTCTTACGGTATCATGGCTGCCTCGCGTATTCTAATCCTGTCTGCTTTTGATTGTGGGTCAGAATTCATCATGTGTTTTTGTTTATGCATTGTGTCTTCCTTCAGATGTAAGGTACTCCTTATACACATATTATATAATATTGAATATAAAAAGGAAGATATGTGTTATATTTGTGTATACCATTAGACTTCCAGTTTATTTGCTTTGTATTCAAAATTGAGAGTGGTACTGAGTTCAACTTCTTTAAAATCCAAAGGTTCATAATCATGCACAGAAGTCCCCTTTAATGAGGCTATAGTGCTGTTAAATGATGGAAATTTATGTGATTTTATTAAAGGGATGTCACTGGCTCTGTGCTATCAGCAGACCTATTTTCACAGAAAGAGCACAGCTTTTGATAACATCTTGATTAAAGATGCTTTTATTATTACATAAGATCTATATCTGTCCTCTCTTAATCTTCACCTTAAGGCAGAAATACCTAGCTCTTCTTAGAGCACAGTTAAGCTATATTTTATGCTAATTTGTCCTATAAAATACATGTTTAAATACTTGAAAAAAATACGAATCAATTTCCTAATTATTCCTAGTTAATTTCAAGTTACCAGAGATTATTTTATTTTTTTTTAGTCGACATTGAATAGAAGCCCCAGTAGTGACATTTTCTGGTTTTTATCAGTTGACTTGTAAAATTTACCCAGTTGAAAATCTGGTAATTTAATTCACTTAACTTTGCTTTATTTAAGTAGTCTAACATTTAGCAGTTAACTTTTTTTGGTTCTTGTACTTGACTTTCTACAGGTTGATGGGCTGAACTCTCTCCATTCTGTCAAATCCACCCCAAACCGATTCACTAAAACAAGTCAGGGAAGAAGCTGGAATACTGGGAATGGATCCCCTGATGCCATATGTTTCTCTGTTGACAAACCTGGTGTAGTTGTAGTAGGATTTTCTGTTTACGGTGGAGGAGGAATTCATGAGTATGAGTTGGAGGTATTAGTTGATGATGTAAGTACTACATTTGAGAAAATAATTTAAGCAAAAGCAACCTCAGAGTTTTTCATAATATGCTTTTCAAAGTAATATTGTAATATGCTGTCTAGGCTACTGGTAAAACAGTGCACAGGTAGTAAGATTTTGCTTGTGGTGGTGATTTTTTTGTGGCATTGCAAGCTACATACCATATTCAATAGGGTCCTTGTGTTGGTTATGGTCCTGAAATCTTCTGTTATTACAAATATTTGAAGTATAGTGTGGGCTTCACTTCCTGAAGCTAAATGCGAATTAGTACCTGTTAACCCTCTGCAAACTGCAAGGAAAACAAGAAATAAAGGAGACCATGTTAAAACATTTTAAACCAGAAATTGAAGAAAGGGGTAGCCTACCAGCATGGTCAAGGCTATAGCTACACGTTTCATGTGCTGCTGAGGTACTCTCTTAGAAGAAACATAAAACTATATTGTGTGTTCTTGTAATGATGTTCTTTTACATACAGTTGTCCACTTTTACCAACTGTTCTAATTCTTTCCGAAGGGCAAGCATAGGTTGCTGTGGGAAATTGACCTCTCTGCTGAGTAATTTCCTTTTTAGCAGAAAGGCTTCTGTTCACTCTGAACAGGATTTTCAGCTTTGTTTTATTTATCATGCTGTGTGTAACAATTTATACAAGCAAGCATAACTTGCACAGTCAGTGTGCGTGTCATGTAGTTACATTGCAAATGTATTAAAATGACTTTGTCTCTTTGAATCAGAGTGATCATACTGGAGATTCAACTCATTCTCATAGATGGACATCTTTAGAGTTGGTTAAAGGAACGTACACCACAGATGATTCTCCCAGTGACATAGCTGAAATCAGGCTGGATAAAGTTGTGCCGCTGAAGGTAAATAAGAGAAGTTGGCATCTGGAGGTTTCACGTGATTCCTTTAGATAACCAAAATCAGAATGTTCAATGTAAATTAGTTTTTGTGTACACATTTCCTGATTAATCTTGACATGTTTGCTTTAGAAATTTTCAGTTTTACCCTGTAACTGAAAATTTCAAATCCCAGCAGCAAAAAGAAATTGCAATTGTTCAGTAATTTAGAATATTCTTGAATGTGCAACTTTTTTGTGTGCAATTTGGCAGCTACTTTTCTTTGGTACCTGGTCACTCTTCAAGTAATTTGAAGTAATATTTTACTTATGTTATGGTCCGTAGTTTGGGAACACAGAACAGCTTTTGCTTTTGTTAAATGCTCAATCTTTTTCGTTTGTCAAGTGCTTTGAAGGACTTTTCAGACTCTCCAGTATTACAATGTAAAAGAATAGCTTTCATAATACCATGAACCCTATCTTCTATGCTTGTTTTATACTGCATACTCTTTTTGGCTCTCCTTTTGAAGGAAAATGTGAAATATGCAGTTCGTTTGAGGAATTATGGAAGCCGGACTGCCAATGGAGATGGAGGGATGACTACAGTTCAGTGTCCAGATGGTGTAACATTTACATTTAGTACGTGTAGTCTGAGCAGTAATGGCACAAACCAAACGCGAGGACAAATTCCACAGATTCTTTATTACAGGTTTGTATTGTATGTTGTCATGATCATGAATAAAACCATCACAGTGCTGTTATACCACATGCATTTTTGAGAAGTAACAGAACTAAATACATCTGGAATGTGTTTGAGGAAGGAGCTGGTTTAACAACAATATTGTGTTCTTCCAGTGTCGTTTCAGATTTAAGTTATTTAGTGAAGACAGTTTTCAGGACACCAGTTGTACTGGTGCCTCTTCCAGTCTTATTTTAGGTTCTTTTTTTTTTTTTTTTTGACTTGTCAAATAATTTCTTGATTAAAACAAAGATGGAATGTAGGAAACTTTAAGATGCAATACTTCGATCTCAATTTTTTCTTTAACCTAAGAGATTTTTGAGAGACTACTCACTGGAATGTTTATCACTCTGATTTTGTTCAGTTCCTTCCTCTGTTGCCAGCAGGGATTACATGTAGGGAAGCAACTTCTGTTTATTTAGGAGCAGTCTCCTCTCTTTACTGTACAGTTCAAAAGTACAAAAAGAGATATTGCAACTGCCCAAGGAAAATCCACTGAAACTTCTGACTGCCCTGCAGGGAAGCTTTATTTTAGCCTTTCAGGATAATAGTAGGAATTCACTTAAGGTAATACTTTTGCAGAAAGCATTGCTTTTATTTTTGAGGTGCTTACCCTGATACGCATGAAGACATGATTTTCAAAATGTGACAGCACTTGAATATATGAATTATTACCATTATCTCCACAGCAAAAAAATGCATCACACCTTTTACTCAAATCTCAATTTTTGTGGTAAAAGGCTGATCAACATTAGATCCAGGGCCTAAAAATAGCAAGGAATAGTAATTTACTATGGTAGTTAATTATGTGCAAGATATACGTATCTAATAAAAGATGAAGAGGATTAAATAAATAATGCTACAACAAATGACATCTTCTGGACTAACAATCACAAGAACATGTTGCTCTTAAGAAAGTTTTAAAGGAACTAGTAAAAATAGCAAGTAATTTACTATGGTAGTTAATTAGGTGCAAGACATACCTACTTAATAAAAGATGAAGAGGATTAAATGAGTAATGCTACAACAAATGACACCTTGTGGACTAACAATCACAAGAACGTGTTGCTCTTAAGAAAGTTTTAAAGGAACTAAAATAACAAGAAATAAAGTGGCCAGCAAAATTATAGTAACAGTATATGTGAAGGTACAGGATAGTTCTGAAGTCCTGTAAAACACGTAATGGGCTGTACTCAAAGATTCAGTTTGTCAGCAATAGCAATAAGCAGTAGCTGCTTATCAAGAATGCATGTCGTGATACTTGCATTGATTTAGTCTTCTGGAACCTTGGACATCTGTGCTTAGGGAATCCCTCCAGCAATTGGAGGAATTTTATTATGAAATATCCTAATTTTGAAGGAACATATTATGTAATAATAATGTAAGAAGGAGGAAAGATAACAAAGAAAGCAATTATTCCCACTCCTAGAGTTTCTGCTTTTATATACGTAAAAGAGAGAATAAAGGAGAAATAACAATTTCTTTGATTTTAGAAAAGCAAAGGATATAAAACTTCAGTAAATGGAAGCTTCACGGCATTTTAACTTAATAATAAGCTAACAAATGGCAAAGAAAACCACACCAAAGTGCTGTCTTCAGATGAGAACAGTCTCAGATTTTTTTGTTTCAACTGTGATAAAATTCTGAGAAGCGTTTGAAGGGCCATAATAGCACAACTCAGAACTCTTACAGAATAAAAGGTTTATTTGGAAAATTTGCAGACTGCTGCCTGTAATCACAGTGTCCGTTGAAGTTTGTTTGGACAACGGAAACCCTAAATGTTATCTGATGAATGACTATAGTTTTGGACCTCTTTGGAGGACTTCCAGTCTGGTACATAATGACTTGAGGTTTTGATTTGTCTGCATTACAGGAACAGAGCTTGTAAGATTCACACTTGACTTTCTCTGAAGGTTGCTCAAATAAAATAGAATTATTGCTTATGCAAATGCCGAAAAAGGCCATACCGAAAGAAAAGTGCTAATGCACTTCTGATTGGGGTAGAAATGCTTTGGCAGAATTTGTTGAAACTGCATCCTGTCGGAAATACATCCCATTGGAATTGCACCCCCTGTCAGTCACTAATAAATTCAAATTAAAAAGGCTTGAGGCTGACAGCAAAACTACAATTCTAGAACACATTGAACAACAACAAACAAATGTATTTTTTTGTAAGAGTGGTTAATTTTAAGTCATAGAGAAGGATAGATATCCTTGTTGTGCACTGAACTGCTCCAAGTTTTTGAGCATTCTGAGATGCCAGTCCTGGAATCTTAATGTTCTGGAATTGCATTTTGAAAGATCAAATCTTTATGGACAAACCTAAGAAATTCAAAAAAGAATGGGAAATTATGCTTTACATGTTGACTAAGTGTTTTTGGTTGTCTATGCTAAGTGTCTATGTCACTGTCACATCAAGGGCTTGAATTAGTTTCAAGTGTTTTTGGTTGTCTATGCTAAGGCTGAATCACTGTCACATCAAGGGCTTGAATTAGTTTATAATTATCATTCAACTACCTTGAAAAAGCAAATCAAACCACATCTTTTATATAACTTATTGAAATAGTATGGTGCATAATATTGTTTAGGAGAACCTAATTTGACATACAGAGTGGATTTCAAAGAAAAAACTATTTGTTAAGGGTAAGCCTAAGACTGTGTTTTAAAACCAAAAGTAATCTTTAAAATGGAGTGGGAGAGTCTTTTTTCCTATCAAGATACTACAGAAATATCCATTGCAAGAGTTTTATTGGTTTCTGTGATGCATTTAGTAGTATTCTATTTTTATCAAGATAGGTCGTTGGGCTTGGAAGAACGTAGCAATTACTACATTTATGTGGTTTGAAAGGCATCTAGTCAAAAGAAACATTTCAAAACATGCTTTTATATTTTCTGCCAAATAAAATGATTGCAAAGGGCTGAGGAATTGCCTCCAAAATATCCTCTGTGTTTTCTTTGATTGTTTCCTTTATTTCGTTATCATAAATTAATTGTTTTACTTTTTCTTTTCCTTTATTGTGTTATCATAAATTAATTGTTTTACTTTTTCTATGCCAAAAAATCAGTCAGTCGTGTTATTTTAATGTAATTTTGTATTTTGTGAACTAACTTTAACTTAATCCCCCATGCAGGAGTGAGTATGATGGAGATCTGCAATCACAGCTTTTGAACAAAGCTAATGAAGAAGACAAAAATTGTAGCAGGGCTCTTTCTGTCGTGAGTGCTGTTGTCCGAGCAGCCAAAGACCTGTTGCACAGGGCTCTTGCTGTAGATGGTAAGGCTTTGGAAAATTGACTTTCAAAATTTAATTTTCAAAACCTCTGTCTTTGATAGCAAGATATAATAGCCAAATATCAGTGATACAAACATTGAGATATTTCTCTTTTGCTTTCCAAAGACTGTTTTTCTAACCTGTTATTACTGTAGGTATCAGACTGTGAGTGACTTTCTAAGTCACTGAGTTGCACTTGAGATATCAGACAGATACCTTGTATAAATTTGCTCAGCAATTTAGCAAGTATCATGTTAAAGCTGGTAAGGTTCTTTATTTCCAGAATAAGTGCTATGGCGGGTCAGTCCCAAATGTTATTCAGTGTTTTGCACAGTGGTGGATGTAATTCACTTATAAGCACTAAAACATCAATTTTTGAGAAATGCAGACATTGGCCTTAAAACTGAATGGTTTTAAGCTACCATCTTCAACCATTCCAGTCAAAACGTCCAGAATATTGCATAGCGCTATAGAAATTGATTTGGCAGACTGGGAGGAGCTTGTGCTGGCTTTTATACCATAGAAAGTATGAACACAGTTTCACAAAATGGCAAAGAATGCAATAAAATTATGCTTTAAGAGGAGGAAATTCTTTAACTTGAAAATTGACTCTCAAAATTTAATTTTCAAAATTTCTGTCTTTGATAGCAAGATATAATAGTCGAATATCAGTGATACAAACATTGTGATATTTCTCTTTTGCTTTCCAAAGACTGTTTTTCTAACCTGTTATTACTGTAGGTATCAGACTGTGAGTGACTTTCTAAGTCACTGAGTTGCACTTGAGATATCAGACAGATACCTTGTATAAATTTGCTCAGCAATTTAGCAAGTATCATGTTAAAGCTGGTAAGGTTCTTTATTTCCAGAATAAGTGCTATGGCGGGTCAGTCCCAAATGTTATTGAGTGTTTTGCACAGTGGTGAATGTAATTCACTTATAAGCACTAAAACATCAATTTTTGAGAAATGCAGACATTGGCCTTAAAACTGAATGGTTTTAAGCTACCATCTTCAACCATTCCAGTCAAAACGTCCAGAATATTGCATAGCGCTATAGAAATTGATTTGGCAGACTGGGAGGAGCTTGTGCTGGCTTTTATACCATAGAAAGTATGAACACAGTTTCACAAAATGGCAAAGAATGCAATAAAATTATGCTTTAAGAGGAGGAAATTCTTTAACTGAGAACTGTATATAATGGCATATTTATCTCAGGTGAATGTTGCAGGTTTAGAAATTGCTAATGCCTAGATAATGAAAATAATTTGAAGTAAAAACTATTGTAGAAATTAGAAGTTTAATTCATAAGAAGCAGAAAAATAAGATGTGTTTTGAAACATAATACATCTATTAATACCTGTGTTGTAAATATATTTTTTTTTAGCTGAAGACATTCCAGAACTACTCAGCTCTTCCAGTCTGTTTTCAATGCTGCTTCCCCTCATAATAGCCTACATAGGACCAGTAGCGGCAGCCATTCCCAAGGTATGCTTCTCAACAGAAATTACTAAAGTTAGAAATATATGGATGTATGATTCATTTATTGGTGAATTTTGGTGGGATGAAATGTTTTTTATATTCTATAAATCCTATTCTTACAATAAATATCCAAAGCAATGGTAGCTGCTCATTAACATTATTTCTGTCAATTTTAGAGGTGAGATGATGTCATCTATATATAAAAATATCATTACTTTTCAGTGGCAGAGCATTTTCCGTGTGCCTGGTGTTGGAACACTCTTGAAACCTATTATTAGATTTACAAATGTCATTAACCCTTAGCTAGTAGAAACTTTTGCTTTTTATTGCTTTTTCATGAACTGTAAACTCTCTTCAAACTTTTTTTTTAAAGGGGGAGGAAAGAGGACTAACCACTTAAAATCGAGCAGATTCATTTCATTAAAACAGTTTCAGATTTCAGTTATCTTATTACTGTGATAAACTCAAATTTAGAACCAAGTGTTTTGCTTTAGATGTGATCCTCTCCTTTGAAAATGTCACAAGGATTACTGAGAACAATGTGGTGCTAAATGCCGCATGCATTAAAATAAGTTGAATATTTGGGAAAAAAAATCAATGTTGTTACAAAACAAAGTATAACTGGACTATAACTTCAGTACAGTATTTGCTTTCTCTAAACTCACGCTTATTGTTTGTTAAGGTAATAGCTTTTTAGTGATATTTCTATCACTAGATAGGTGTTTTAGTGAAGATGTCTCACAGATAGTGTCCAGATTTTTGTTTCAGCTTTGACAAGTCTCCAAGAGGAGTATTTGAGATGAGTGTAGTGATGCTTTTCCTGTCAGGATTGTGTACAAAGAGAATTGGAAAATGACTGAATGAATTTGTGTTAGTGATACTCTGAGCAGATCCAAAACAACCGTTGTAGAGAATTGTAGGTTTTGTGAGTATTGTTTTCCCCCAGTCCTAAGTAATATTTTATTGCGTGTTACAGGTTGCTGTTGAGGTCTTTGGCCTAGTACAACAGTTACTTCCTTCTGTGGCAGTTCTGAATCAGAAATACGCCCCTCCAGCTTTTAACCCAAATCAGTCTACGGACAGCACCACCGGAAACCAACCGGAGCAAGGGCTTTCAGCTTGTACTACCTCCAATCACTACGCTGTTGTGGAAAGTGAGCATCCCTATAAACCTGCCTGTGTTACGCACTATAAGGTAAGCACCATTGCAAAGTGTGTGGTTTCTGAAAAACTTTTGACATGTGACTTTGTTTCATCAACGTTTACTATCTGCAAAATTGTTGCCGTGGTTGATGATTAGTATTGTCTAATATAGGAGAGAGTTTCCTATATTATTAGTCTCCTGATTTCTCAAGAAACCTCTGTTTGCCCAGTAAGTACAGTGGAAACTAATGTAGTTTTAACACTATAATGCAGGTATCTACTGTAAGTCCTTAAATTTGCTCAGTCTGAGATTTTCCTACTGTCAAACAGTTTCATTGCTCTAGTTGGACAGATTGTAGAAGTTGGAAGTCTTTATGTATACATTATCTAGTCATATCTCTGGCTTTCTTACCTAATGCTAAAACAATTCTTTGTAAAAATACCTAATGTCAATTTCAGTCAAATTAATATGCATTCTAGGGCGGGAATCCCTGTGCTGGCTATTGCTGGTCTGCCAATTAAAATTCTTCATTAATTACTTTCACTTGGACCATGATTTGGCATTGCAGAACTCTCTGAAGTCCTCTTAACTGTGTTGTCACTCTAAGTAGGGTTCATTCCGCCTTACATCGGTTGACTAGGTTTTCTTCAACGTCAATAGAGAGAGGGTGTTTTTTCTACTTGTGTAAAGGGCTGAGGCATAAATTGAGATGAATCTTGTGTTTCAGTTCTTGAAATAGTGAGTTCTACAGTCCTAGTGATTCCACTACTGTAAATCCAGAGGTAGCAAACCTGGAATTAAGAGCTGGAGGAGGTCATTAATTACTGTCCCACTATTACACTTGCTTGTCCTGTGAGACAGCAAGATATCTACTGCAAAAAATGTAGTTATAATATGATCTTCCTGATGCAATGATGCTTATTATTTTTCTAAAAGTTTATGGAGCTCATCCAAAGCCTAAGGCTTAGTAGTTACTGCTTTTGAATTTCTGTAGCTATATGCTATCATACTGCAGGCCAGTCTTCACCGGCATGATTCCGATGCTTTGTGCTTTTCTAGGATTGCACAAAGCAGATATTGAATGTGTTTGTTAAAGTTTGTGTTTAAAAAGGTATTTGAGAGTTAAGTGCTTGTACGAGTCTGTGGTTGTTTAGTTTAATGATCCTGTGCAGAGTTCTTAAAAACAATCACAAATGGTATCGTAAGCACAAATACTTAATCTGAACATAAATTTTTAATACATGATTATAATTCAGTACAGTGTAAAGCATTTCAGGTATATATGAATTTAAAAAAATAAATTAGGTTAATGTTAGACTGAACATATCTCAAAACAACTGTACAGAACTCCATAAGTGAATCACTTTCATAGCCTAAAGAGTTAAAACCAAATGGAAATGAAGAAATAAATGTGAAAAAAAAATCTAACAACCTTCCAGACTTGCACATAATTAGACTATTGTTTTGTTTTAGGTGACTTTTCCTGAATGTGTCAGGTGGATAACAATAGAGTTTGACACTCAGTGTGGCACTGCTCAATCAGAGGATGTTCTTCGTTTACTAATTCCTGTCAGAATTGCACAGAGTCTGGGATTTGGACCAAAGCATGCGTCTGTTCATGAAAATCTCAATTCATGGATAGAACTGAAAAAATTCTCCGGATCTTCAGGATGGCCTACCATGGTATTAGTACTGCCAGGTAATAAATAGGTACTCCAATAATTTCTAGTGATGTGAATTATTTTAATAATGAAAGTAAGTTTGATTTTTCTGCAAAATTATCATAGAAAACAAAGTAGAAAAAGCATCTTCGTCCAAACTGGCGAGAGTTCATCATGAGCCATTGGTTGTACATCAGTTAATTATGTTTATATAAGGTCTCTTGTTTGAAATGTTGATCTGTGTGTTATTCATGGTTTACTTTACATATAAGGCCTGGGTTTCATATATGCTGTGTATGTAGAAGAAATGTACAAGAAGGGGAGAAATATTAGGGATTTTTTTAAAATTATGTATCTTTTTACTTTCTGTAAGGAAATGAAGCTCTGTTTTCTCTGGAGACTGCATCAGACTATGTGAAAGATGAAAAGGCTTGTTTTTATGGTTTCAAATGTTATGCAATTGGATATGAATTTAGTCCAGGATCCGATGAGGTAAGGAAATAGTGAAATGACAACAATTGCTGCACCTATTATTCTCTCCTGTAAAGCCAACTTTTTTGGTAAAAATATTTGTATTTCCATATTTCCACTTCTGACTAAAAAACATTAGCAAAACATTATTAAATTAATTTCATATAAGTGATCCGCATTTCACATCTTTACTTGCTTGCTATTTCAGAACTTGCTTGTTTGAGTCCTAAAGATGCAGTTTATCAAGGTTTTAGTTTAAAATGCATTTTGGAGATTTTTCAGTCTCCTTGAGAGTCTCAGAGAATACAAGGCGAGTTCAGGGTTTCTGCTTTTGAAGGCTCTTTCCAAAAGAAGGATTTTTTTTTTTTTTTTTTACCTATTTTATATATTGCCAGTTTCTCTAAGTCTGCCTAGAAAATCCATTAGATGGAGGTTTCTCATGTCCCCTGCTGTTTTTTGGTGGTGGTTCGTTGGGTTTTTCTTCCTCCATGAGAGGCATCTCTGAGGTGGGCTTCAACCACCCACAGATTTCTTTAAAACTTAAAATTGGTTTTAGTGTCAAGGCCTTTTTGTGAAAAGATAAAGAGTGGATTCTTTCCAAAATGAAAGAGGTTGTGCCTGCATGTAGCTGGGACGAGGTGAAGGGAAAAGAAAAAGTTTTAAAAGTATCTACAACTTCCTTAGCCATACTGCTCTCCCCCATTTCCTTGCACTCAGCTTCCTTCCCACCATGTATTTGAAAACTGTATACATGGTCCGTTCCTTTTTTTTTATCTCTTGTGAATGAGGTTGAAAGATACTGATGGAGAGACTCTCATGTGTTTTCAGTGACGAGTTTGGTAGAAGGAAGGGTCTTCTCATTCCCTAGAACAGCGGCATCAATGGGAATAAAGAGCTTTCCAATAGGCGTGAATAGAAGGGAGAATCTGACAATTTCCCAAGATTTGTAATGGAGAAAGGGAAATTATGAAATCTTTTTCTCATCCTTGCCTCTCCAACTAGAGAAAGGGAAGAGGAAAAAAAATCATGATCAGTACTATCTTTAAAGATGGGAACATGAGCTTATGTGGTATGTACGACTTAGAAGAGGCATTGCTTTGCAATCCAAATAGATATCGGTAGGTTTTTTGTATTATGAAGTTGCCTTTCTCTTTAATATTACAGACAAAAGACAATTATCATCTTCAGATGTTCTTATTAGGCTACCAGAAGCACGGTAACCCATTTATTAATACTCTTACATAGTTGAAATTGTTCTAAAAATTTGGTGCTCTGGCCCATGTCACAGGAAAACATGACAGTCTAGCTGTTTGACAGGATCAGTATCACTGAGAAATGTCAAACTGGAACACACAATTAGGGTACAGCAGTGTTAGGGAAACACATTCATTGCCCTCTTTTCTGAGACACTTACTTTTGTTTTAAAATTTGTTTCAATTTGAAGGGTATTATTCAGCTGGAGAAAGAACTGGCCAATTTAGGAGGATCATGTGCAGCAGCTTTAATGAAGAAAGATCTAGCGCTTCCTATTGGTAAGTCCTATTCAAAGAACATACTTTGTTATTTCATCATCGTTTTTCATTCGGTTTGTTCATTGAATGAATACTACCTGTACATCTTCATGTTGCTTTCAGTTAGATGGTCATACAAACCTGATTCTTAAAACTGAATTAATCAATTAAGATAATGAAGTGATGTTGTTTTCTGCTTACACTGTTCCCTTCATGTGTGTATGGGGAGGAGGGAAACCTGGTCACTTAAATCTGAACCAACTCACCCCATCCACAGGTAGTGTATCAGTGTACGAGCTCTGTCCTACAGTTTCCTCGTGGTACTTCACAAATGTGCAGGTATCTCATTTGTATCTCTCTTTCACCGTTTTTTTTTTCTCCCTGCACTCCACACCTGTCTGAATGAAAAATACCTGCAACATTGAATTGTAGAATTTAAAATTACTCGTTTAAAATTGAAAGTAACCTTTGCATCTGTGGACCTCACATCCTAAAATATTTCTGCTGTAGTTTTCTTTGTTACAATTACAAAAGAAAATTTACATACTTCTACAGCAGATTCAGCAAGTAGGTTTACAGTAACATAAGTGCAATTTAAAATGTAATTTTAATTAATTTAAATTTCTCCTAATTAGCATTCGTGTACAGGAAAGATTTACTTATAATCTATAATAGGATATCTTTTTGATAATTTTAATTTAGGAGCACAAATGAGAGCTCAAATACGGTTAATGATACTGGAAATGTATATTAATGAGCAGGAGAGTGTTGATCAGTGTGCAGTAACAACCACAGAACCTGATGATGAATTTTTTAACCCAGTATTTTGCTTGTGTATTTGAATGTGCAGTTTTCTTACGTTGTTGTTAATAGGCACCTCAGTTGCACTGGTAAATCTGTATTTCACTCTCAAAATTACAGGCAATTCTATAGTTTAAATAGTGCCGTCTTCTGCCTTAACTCCTTAGTTTTGTTAACTTCCCTAGCACCTATCTGTTCTCCTATGCAAAAAAAAAAAAAAAAAAAAAAAAAAAAAAAAAAAAAAAAAAAAAAAAAAAAAAAAAAAAAAAAAAAAAAAAAAAAAAAAAAAAAAAAAAAAAAAAAAAAAAAAAAAAGAAAGTGAAATGCTTCTAACTTAATTTCCCAGGTTTTCTTATACTTCACAATTCTCTCTAAAGAGATTTTTGTTTTGTTCTAATTTTGAATGCCTCAAACAAGAAGGGAAAGTAGGTGGTACATAGATTTGCCTTATAGGCTTTCAGATAAAAGAAACTTGAAATAAAACATGCAGTTAAGTTACCTGTGCAGTCTCAGCCACCTATAAAAGTGGCTGTGTATGATCTGCAAGAGGGGAGGGATAAGTGCATTGACTGTAGAGAGTTTCCTGATTACTGCCATAATTACAGTCGATTCATCTGATTGTTTACACCAACTCAAGGACTTCAGCCAAGTTGTTCGTGTTGCTGACACTCATGCTCATGACAAACAGGCATCATGTGTGTATTGTTTCTCTACAAGAGCACTGGACCCTCGGAATAAACAAAAGTGATGAATTATAGGCAGCAGTGGTATGTTTGCAGATATAAGCCACTGTGCAGCCTGTTTAAGATGGATTTCAGTTGTCTGTAATTATGTTCTATTGTTTTGCTTGATGTTTCAGAAAAGCACTGTGACATGAAAAGAGGTAAAATGTGGTTTTCTAGAGCAACATTTAAAGGGCTTAGGATCAGACTTATGCACTCTAGATTATGCATTTCCTACCTTTTGCTGCAAGTTAAATGGTATCTTAAAAATGCCGTATTACTGCTATTGCTCATCTTCTTTCCACAAATAAGATACTTTTCCTTTAAGAAAAACCTATATAATCCTATTAAAGACTGGTTTTTAATGCATACACACAAGGCAGCCCTTCTTGTTGGACTTTTTGCACTTTATTTTATAATTTGTACAATTTTACCTTTGTTCCATGTGTGGATGTATACAGGCTAAGGAAAATAACCTAAGGAAAAGGCTTACTCCAGAAAAGAATTAGCAACTTCACTTACAATTCCTGAACTCTGGCATTTAGAAGTTAGGCATCTACAGCTAATAGCCCTAGCCTTCTTTTAGAGTTAATGTGGGCATATTCAGAGGATGAAGATGTGAGAAAAATGAAATGAATCATCCCAAGGAGGAGCCTATTTCTCCTCCATTTGCTGTAAAGATATCTTATAAGAAGTTCTGGGCTCATGATCTCATTTTTTTCTGCCCAAAAGTAGGGAAAGTAAATCCTGTGTTATTTCCCAGGTACACTTTAGGGCTCTGGATCCAACTAAGTCCTCTTAAAACTGGGCGATTTTAATGAAGGCGATAAGAAACTTCGTCAATGTGGCAGAATTTTAAGAAAGGGAAATAGGAAACAGATGGTTGAAAATTCTCAGCAGGTACATTTATGGAAGGTTGTGGAAAGGGTATCATAGGAATAAAAATAAATTAAAAAAAAAAAAAAAGACTTGTCTGGAAACTTTCTGTCAAGAAAAGTTGAATGATGGAACTGATTTCAAACCAGATTTAATAGTTGTTACTGGCATCCTTGCAGGATCCTTCCATCTTCAACTATTTTTTGCATGATTTATCTTCGTCTATTGACTTTAAGGGGGTTGTTCTACAGAAATACCTTGCTTTTTAATAATTGTTATAGTGGATATAGTGGATATAATCTGTATACAAGTAGCCAAATACTTGTATAAGTATTTTCCTCTAGATCCACTAGGAAATAAGGTGTTTTAAAAGGACATCAAGAAGCCTTTTAGCCTTTTTTGCTTCAAAGGAAGATGGACCACACAGTGATTACTTCACGTATTAGGAAAACTTCACCTTTGAAAGTACACACAAATACTTTTTAAATTACCACGTTCAAAAGGTCACACTTGACATTTCTCCAAGACTCAAATTGAACATACTTCTTCTCAAGAGGAGGTCCCATCTGTGACCAAGATCTAACTTAAACATCAATGGAATTGATCAATTCATTTAATATTATTACTTACTAATTGTTTCAAATTTGATAGAAGTTATTTCTGAGAGGAGAGTTTTTATATATCTTTATTTCTTTGAATTTAAAAAAAATACCTTAGGACTTCATTTTTCTCATTTCTCTTTCTCTCTTCTTACTAGTAGAATTGCCTGGCATGTTTCTGAGAGAGAGTAGAAATATGGTAACCTTATCTGGTTTATTTTTCTTTTCAGTTAAGACTGTGTTTGGCAATTCTGGTCACCCTGGAATCAGACTTTTGAGTTGCATTTGCGCGAAACAAATACTGTATAATAGAATGTATTTGAGTTTTATGTTTTAGGAGAAGTCATAATTTACAAAATTGTGCAGAGTTTATCAGGTTTTCAAATACTGTTGCTATGGTAAGTTCTTAAAAGGGAGCAGCTGGTGCATACTTTTAGGTCCTGCTTCCCAGAAACCATCTTGAACTCCCAAAATCTTTTTTTCTAAAAGTATCTAGTCCCATCCAAAGACTTGCCATACATACTGTCTTGGAGATAAGAAGACAAGTACCAAATTTTTGTTTTGTGTAATGTATATTGTTTATTTGTTTGTGCACTGGGCTACACAGTACTGCATGTTTATTGTGTTACTTGAAAGTATTAGTCTTTCAACTGCTGGTTAAAAAATGATACACATCATCTTGCAAACTTAAATTTTGTAATATAAAAGACTTCACTGAACACAATTGAATTTTGTGTTCCATCAAATGTAAATTTACATATTGATATGTAAATATCAATATTATTGTTAGGAAAAAAAAGATTTCTTTTTTGTTGTGAAAATAAGTTCTATTTTTACAGCAGGTAATGAATTTGAAGAAGATCTTGAGATTCTTGAAGAGGCTGCTTTACAGGTACACTGCTCTTTTGGTTTTTTTTCCATTGCAACATACTTCGGCACATAATCGCATTGAAACTTTTTGACTGCTACGGAAGTAGGGAATTTGGCTTGTTATAACACAGTTTAAGAAAGACGTACAGAAGTTTGGCATTTACATGGAATCTTTTTAGAAATAAATATGCTTAGAAAAAAATGCATAAAATATTGCAGAGGAAGTTAGATGACCAAATATTTTTCAAAATATATAGGTGTCTGGCTTAGGTTACATGATTTTACAAATTTTAGATGTTGCCAAAATTAAATATGCACGTGTCTTTGTAATTGCAGAAATAAAGTCACTTTTTCAGTTGAACAGTAACATTTATCAAGTCCCAAATAATATGACTTCAGGCGTTCTGGACTGATGATGTATTTTATTTGTTGTGATGGCTGCTAATGCTTCTCAGTAGCTCCCTAATTGTATCCCCCTAGCTGCTGATGCACAGTGAAAAAGGACTTTTCACAGTCTTTATCTCTGTCATAATTATCTTCAGGGCAGCTGTTTTGAAATGCAGTTGTCGCACAGCTTGCTGGAAAAATGTATCAGTGCTACAGTATGACAACATTGCATAGGCCTTAGATGACAGAAGAGTAAAGAGAAACTGCCTAGGAGGAATCAGATGTTCCCTTGAAAGAAATATTGTTTTCAGCAGTCTCTTTTTGGACCCTCTCTGTTCTAATTCAAAACCTGAGCTAGGAATGTGCATGCAAGTAATGGATTCATTTGCACTTTTAGTTCTGTCTTAAATATTTTCTGCATCTTTCTACCTCCTTTCTTGCGAAGAAGGGATTTCTTTTACTTTGTCTCACCCAAAATGTCTCTTTTAAGAGATCTTCTGTTCTATAAATTATATCTCTAGCTTTTTATTTTCTTTTGGAACATGCTCATTGGTCACATTTTAAGAAATACTTTCTTAATTTGTTTGCTGGCCACAGTTCAACAGTTTTGGATACTCTTAGCATGGAAGTTCATGTTACCTTAGTCGTTTTTCCAGAAATTCTCTCTCAACGCAAGTTCCTTTAATCTTGTATGACATAAATGATTGTTTTATGGAATTACCTGACTTTTCTTTTTAACTTCTCATCAGAGTTTGTCCTGTCTTCCACTACTTGGATGGTTTTCCGTGCCCAAAGTGTCTGTGTCATATTATGGGAAAATGTCTACATATAAGATACTGAAAAACTGTTCTGTCTCTGTCCTTTCATCCCCAACCCCTGTGGGGGGGAAAAAAAAAACAAAACAGGTGTGCAAATCTCACTCCGGCATTCTTGGGAAAGGCTTGGCATTATCTCACTCGCCAACCATTTTGGAAGCTCTTGAAGGAAATCTTCCGCTGCAGGTACAAAGCAATGAGCAGTCATTTCTGGAGGATTTCATTGCTTGTGTACCAGGATCAAGTGGTGGACGACTTGCAAGGTAAAAAATCGGTGCGCTGCACGAATAAAACCATTGCTTCATAGTTGTAATGTTTCAGTTTTGCAACAAAATAGAACATGTTTAGTTATATGTTAAATTTCAAAATGTGTGCACTGTTACTTGCAGCTTGCTATAGAACTTTAATAGTTGCATCAAATATTAGTTAAGTAGAGCTATTTGACTGTATTGCTTCTATTAATATGTTAGGTAAAAGCATTTAAGTATTCAGACCACCTGCATCCCTGCTTAGCTGGAAGTCATTTTTGTACAAAGTAGGAATTTATCTTTTGGGGTTCTGCAAGAGTGTAATATTGTTTGTCTTTGACGTAGGTGGCTTCAGCCAGATTCATATGCTGACCCTCAAAAAACATCATTGATTTTGAATAAGGATGACATTCGATGCGGTTGGCCAACTGTTATTACTGTACAAACAAAAGACCAGTATGGGGATGTTGTTCACGTGCCTAACATGAAGGTAATTATTGTCATCTTGGCTGTTCTTACACTTCATCATGCTTTCTTTTAGTATTTGTTGTAGGTATTCCACAGAATACTCCTGTACAGGGCAGAAAGTGGCATTTGCAAATTCAGCGTAGTCAGACTCTCTTACCTCTAAATCCACAAAATTCTCAAGTTCTGTATGCCATGACATATGCCACCACCATTTCATGCATAAGTCAGATAAAATGTGTAAAGTGTGCTAATGTACTAGGGTGACAGAACAAGCCAAGATCCAATTTGCCCGCTTCTGATCCAGATTGAGCAGGCCCTGATGACTCACTCTGAAACCTGTGCGCTCATTTGGAAGGCTCTCTTCCCTACTTTGGGCATTTTCTATTGTGGGAAAGCTTAGCTAGACGTGTCAGACTGCGTGCTGCTTCCCAGGGAGTGCTCTGGGACGGGCAGAATTGATGCTAGCCTTTACTGATGACATGCAAAGTTGGTTGGGTGCTTCTCTCCTGTACATTTATGTTTTTCAGAGAAGCTGTACTTGGCTTTACAAAGTGTTAAGTGTAGGCAGCTGGATTTATAGCGAGTGGTCTAAGCACTTTTGTCACTGTACCTTATGGGATCTAAAAGAATGCGTGTGTGTGTATGTTTCCTCCCTAAATCATCTTCTGTATTCCATGTCTTATTGCAGGTAGAAGTCAAAGCTATTCCTGTTTCTCAGAAAAAAACATCTTTGCAACAAGAACAAGTTAAAAAGGTGCAACGGATACCAGGGAGTCCTGCAACAGCTGCCTCCCCTAGCAGCGACATGACCTTTGGGGGACTTCCTTCACCAAAGCTTGACTCCTCCTATGAGCCAATGATAGTAAAAGAAGCTCGATATATTGCTATTACAATGATGAAGGTAAGTTGCCAGCTCTCTAGCCATGTAACTATGCAATTCAGCATTCAAAGTACGTAAAGGTACGCAAAGGAGAAAGAAAAATGTATATTTCAGGTAGGTCGCAATCTAAAAATATATCTACTACAAATTACTTTCATTATATTTAACTTCAGCAGAAAACTAGGTGCATAAAAAGGGCCAATTGCCTAAACTCTAAAGCAGTTTAAAACTGAATTAGCATTTAAAAAGAAAAATTGTCTTTGATTTTGATTACACTGATTTAAAAACTAGTCTGAGTCAGGAACAATGAAAACAGCTATTGAAATGGCGGAGGGGAAGTCAAATCAGTGTTATCCATACAGAGTCGGAGTGTTGCAGTGAATCTGTATTAAAAACTGTTACTAGTGAACATAGGGAAAAATAAGAGCTCAGCATAGTAAAAAGACTGTATGATTGATTTGTGTGTCAGTGTATGAATATTAAACAACATCTGTTGAATCTGGCCACTGTCAAATGTATCAGCTCAGAGACTTTGCCAGCAGGAACTGGCCAAAGGTGGAAACTGAACAGTTAGTATTGATTTGTGTATATTTTTGGAACCCATGATATATTTACATATACATAACATGTTGACCCAGTTAAGAGATGTGACATGGTGCGTATAACTAGCGGTTAGACAAATTAATATGACATGATTAATCAGGACTTAGGGAAGGATAATACTTAGTCTAATCGATATGGACTTACTGGAGGAGAATCAGCAAACTATCATCTTTGAGAGTGTCCAGGATTGTTTTCTAGGGAGGATAGCGCTGCAGTAGCTACGTGTAAATAGGGTTATTGGCTACTAAATAGTGTCGTAATGGACCATTGAATGAGCTATGAAATAAACGTGGTGTACAACAAATAGTTTAAAAACTTGTTAAATCACCTGTCTGAAAAGATATTTAGAATAAGGGGGAGTGTATATCAAGTGTGGCGTGCTTGTTTAGTTGGTTTTTACACTTGGGGTACTCCAAAGATCACTTCTTGGCTTGATGCTACTTGGTATTTTTGCCAGTGACTTGAGGGGGAGCGGGAAATACATTCTTAATTCAAGACTGGAAGCCAGATGGGGTTTTTGATAACCATTGTCCCCAGACACCTGCTGCTGCTTTTGCAGTAATTGGTAATAGACTTGCTCACACAGATGTTACGGTCATAGACCTTGCAACGCATCAGATACTCTGCAGTAACTGACAGTGGAGCAAGTCAAGGTGTCCAGAAATTAATCTCAAGGTTTGATGGACCCTTTGAATGAGGAACGTTTGATGTTAGTTTGCTCATTTGTTAGTAGTAAGTATATTTATTATCTAAATATGAATGGACATGGACCTGATGGAGAGGGTCCAGAGGAGGGCCACAAGGATGATCAGGGGGATGGAGCACTTCTGCTACGAGGACAGGCTGAGGGAGCTGGAGTTGTTCAGCCTGGAGAAGAGGCAGCTCCGGGGAGACCTAATAGCGGCCTTCCAGTACCTGAAGGAAGCCTACAGGAAGGCTGGGGAGAGCCTGTTTACAAAGGCCTGTAGTGACAGGACAAGGGGAAATGGCTTCAAGCTGGAAGGGAACAGATTTAGATTGGAGATTAGGAGAGGGTTCTTCACTGTGAGGGTGGTGGAGCACTGGAACAGGTTGCCCAGGGAGGTGGTTGAGGCCCCTTCCCTGGAGATATTCAAGGAGAGGCTCGACGAGGCCCTGGGCAACCTGGTCTAGTTGGGGGTGTCCCTGCTGACTGCGGGGAGGTTGGACTAGATGACCTTTGGAGGTCCCTTCCGGCCTGGGCAATTCTATGATTCTAAATAATGGCCATTTAAAGGGAAAGATAATTTAAAGATACTTGTTTCATGTATGTATACATATGGATATACATTTGGAATTGGTTTCTGTGCTCAGTGCTTCTGGCGCATGTAAAATTACATTAGTAAGTTCTTTGCAAAAATAACTCTACTTTCTTTATTAGTGACTTTAATATAAATGATAACTGTTGATTTTGTGTTTGTTGAATTTAATCTGTTTATAGGCATATGAAAATTATTCTTTTGAAGAGCTACGCTTTGCTTCACCAACACCAAAGAGGTAAATGTTGAAGAATTGCTTTTTAATAGGGACTAAAATGAATTTGTCCTATCATTTCTGCTTACATCTGGAGTCACAAGACTTGACTGCCTGAATAATCTGGTCTAAAGGTGGAAACACTACAAAAATCATGTGTTACTTCAGTATCTTAAATTTAGAGATTTAATTAAATTTAGAATTTTAAATTTTATAATTTAGAGACTTATCTAAATTTAGTTATTTAATTTAATTTTGAATTTTAATTAATATTAGAGATTTTTCATAGATATTCTGTTTAAAATCTTTCATTCTTGGTTGTTTTAATGTTGATTCCTTATTTGTATTAGCTATTATTTGAGTATTTTCTTTCATCATTTCCTAGAAATGAATGTGGTATAGAGGTTTATAACTTGTAAATAATATGGAATTAGTACATTGAATGGGGAGAGGTGATATTTCAATGATCTGAAAGAAAAAAAAAAAGTGGTCCCAAACTATTACCTATTATTTTCAAAATGACAGTAATTGTTTAATAATTTTAATTGTTTTGTTTATGCCTAGACCCAGTGAAAACATGTTGATCAGAGTCAATAATGATGGTACATACTGTGCAAACTGGACTCCTGGAGCTGTTGGTCTCTATACCATCCATGTTACCATAGATGGCATTGAAATAGGTACTTAATTTTCACTATACTTAAGCAGAAGTTTATATTATATCCAGTTTGTATACTGATAAATGTCTTGGTGTTCGTAAGATTTAGTATTAAAGTTCATAGCAAAATCTAGCATCCAAGTTTTCGTTCAAAAGCCTTCTATCTAATTCCCTCTTCTTTCTTAGAAGAAAAAAGACCACGGCTATTCTCTACTTTAAATAGGAACATATTTGGGAAATCATGTATTTGTAATGTGGTTGGACTACAAGATTAAAAGAGTTTTGTATTCTCTACTCTCTGTTGCAAGAAAAATGTCTTTTTTCAGAGGCAAGAGAGATGTATAGTTAAAGGGGAAAAAAAACAACATTGAAGAACCTAGGAAAAGGGAAAATTGTTCCTTACCGTGCGGGAATAAATCATAGAATAGAATCATATGGGGTTGGAAGGGACCTCTGGATATATCCCTTTATATGTATTTTTAATTAAACTTAATTTTTGTTTGTTTATAGATGCTGGGCTAGAAGTGAAAGTAAAAGATCCTCCAAAGGGAATGATACCTCCTGGAACCCAACTTATTAAACCAAAAGCAGAGCCTCAGCCAAACAAGGTTTGGAGAATTGAAAAAAAAACAAACCCAAACACATACTTATATCTGGGTGGAATTTCAGTTTTCAAAGCATACTTTATTGTGTTATAGTGTATAGTGGTGCAGGATTTACGGATATTTGCAAATCACTTTAATGTGCTGAATGGAATGAAATTAATATACTGGATAATGTGAAAGATACTCATTCCATTTTCTTTCTGTCTATCCATTAATAAAACTGTTAGAAGTTCTACAGAAACTCCCTTAGTCTTGGCTTGTCACACAAACATTGTGCAGCAAGTTCTGCATTATTATTAGTTTTGGTTTTTTTTAGTTTTACTATGAAATGAATTGTACAAAAAACCCAAAATCAGTTTCTTTAGTGTTAACTTCCTTTCTTAAGACATCATGATTTTATTTTTAAAAGTTATCCCTTCTGTAGCTTTTGACTTCCTCATTTCACCTTACCATTCCACCCTGAGGGACTGAAGTAGACACAAATAACGGAGGAAAGCTGAAAGGTGGTGTGGCAGTGCTATAAGGAGAATGCCCAGATGAGGGAACCGTTTTCCACTTTCTCTAAGGCACAGAGGGAAAGGATATTACACAAGGCACTGAATCTCTTTTTTGTGGAATAAACCTGTATTAAACAATGTGGAATTCTGAAATACCACAAGGTTATCCTTCCTCATCTTATTGCAACTTCAGAGGTGGCTAAGAAATACGTGGTCACAAAAAGGATCAGGTGTTTGCCAACTTTTTACCTATACAGTGTGCCCTGGTTTATTTAGTTTCCAAATTTCTGAATAACCTAGAAACAGTAACTTTGTTGTACTATTCCCCAGTCTGTAAATGCATCCAGTATCTGCTTCTGCCATGAACAGGATTCTTTTCCCTGAACCCACACCTCAAAATAAAAATAATAAATTTACCTTTAGTTTCCACCCAATTTTTTTATCCCTCATTGCAATTTCTTTATCATTAAAAAAAAATTATTTAAAAAAAATAATTTTAGGCTTTCTCCCTTCTCTTGGAAGGAAGACTTCCTCATTACTTCATTATCTTAATAAAACTCCCAGTTCCTACTGGGTAAGATTCATCTCACAGAACTTATGTGATGATGAGCTTGTACAAAGATATCATTGTGGTGTTTGCTGTCACCAAAGTGGGACACAGATCTGGTCTAAGATGAGATAAGCTGCTGGATGGGAGTGCTTTCTTTCTTTTCAGTTACTACAGTTGGAATTGAGGTGACTGGTTCATACATAGTAGCTACATTTTGTTAAGTAATAGTCTTCATGACAGTTAAAAATACTTGGAAAACGTTAAGCCTCTGGTATTCCGAGGCATTTGCTTAGTGTTTAATTGTCTCCCTCTGCTATTCTACTTTCATGTCTCGTTTCTTGTTCCAAGCTGTAGTCTCTTTGAAAGAGAAACCATCTTTCTGTCCTGTATATAGTGTCTGTAGAGCCTGCCGCAAACATACACTAGACTTTTCATGGTAAATAATTTTATCAGTCTTCTTTCTTCTATGTTGTAATAAATCACGTAACAAACCAGGTTAGAATAATTCTTTGTGTTTGAACAGGAGTATTCTTTATAATATAGAAAGGTAATTATTGTACTGTGCTCCATGCCTCTGAGGCCAAGAACGCAGATTAGACATGTATCAGTCAGAGACAGTCCAATATACCAATATACCGTTGAGAAAAAGGGCTTAGTTGAGCCCTAGAAGCTGCTGCTGCTTCTTTGTCAGCCTGAAATTTCAGACAGTTATAACCAAAGGACACTAGCAGTGTGTTCTCAGGGGTGATGTGTTCTCAGCTAGGAACACCAAAATTTATTACTCAAACGTTACTTGAATCACAGGTTGAAAAATGAATATTATAATTATGATTTCTTCATTCTCTGTTATTTAAAGTCAGATAATAAAAATCTGGTTTTCCTGTCCATCCACGTTGGTAAAGGAGATTATCATAGTGATCTGTGTTCTGGAGTATATGACCCATAACTGCTGCCTCCTCACTGGCTGTGAAACTTAGATTAGCTAACTTGCAGGAAATATTATTTTCTACCCCTATCCTACTGAGGGAAACGTTATCTTTCAAGCTATGTAATGTAATTTGGGGTAGCTGAACCAACCAGAAGAAATTTAGCTGAGTTGGAAGGGCCAAAACTGGTGCCAGAACGATTTGTCATTAATACATTTTGACTGTTTCTTCTGTCCTTACATCAGTGAACAAATGGCTTGCATCAATTGCAGAAAAAAAACCAGACACCAAGCCCAAGAGGTCTGGGCAGGGGATGGCTTTCTGCATCCCTTCGTAGAAGGTTAACCCCCTTGTTAAGGCTGCTTTATCCTACACAACGCACCTTCCTGCGCTGCCAGGTGTAACTCTCTTCAGATTCACCAAATAAGAAGGCAGAGCACCAAAGCTCTTGAAAACTGCTGGAGAAGAACTAAGGGAGATGCACATGTTAATTGCAACGCCCTTCTGCATTAGCCACTTCTTTTAGTTGGAGTCTGGTTTGTGTGTGCTCCATGGAAGAACTGACTCTGGAGGTGTTACAGGACAGAGTTCCTGAACCGTTGTGCCATAGAGAAATATCCCAAGCAAAGAGGTGCTGTATCAGAAAGAAGACTCAGACAATTAAGTTTTTCATGATGATCATAAATGAGCACAAGAGGACTTTTCATCTCTTTTCTCTTGTATTTAGCTGCTGCAAAGGGGGAAAATGCTCTTTACAGGCCTGTGCATATCTACGTCTTGGTTGTGAGTCTTTCTTCCTCTAAATTATGCATCTTGGTTGTGAGTCTTTCTTCCTCTAAATTCAAGATTTTAATCAAACTAAGCCAGCCCATCATGTGATTTTCTGAAGTAACATTTTGGGGTAATAATGCAGGGACCCTAATTTGCAAGACTTGGCTTATAGGCTTTTTTATATTGAAAGGCACTCTCAGCAGTGATTCAACCTTCTATTTTTACAAGGACCTTGAAAGTCTTTGTTTTGCCTGTTGAGAGAAATCTAAATCCTTGGAGTAATAGGATTGTTAGTAAGCAAAACCTTGCACATTTCAGAGTAAGTTACATTTAAAATTCTTTACATGCTTCTGTGATTTGTTGTTTTGTGTTTTGTTTTTTTTTTTTTTTTTAAATTAGCCTTAATATGAATGCCACTTCTTAAAATGATTAATTTTTTTAGGGAAAAAAACAAACTAATTCATGCACTTTGCTGTTACATTTCATTACCTACCTTTTCCTGAGTTTATTCTTTCCATATCATCCCATGCTTTATGTTAAGTTAAAGGTTGATTCCATACTTCCCTTGATATTTTTTTTCTATTTTATGTGTGGAGTTTGAAAATAACCTTCCAAGAAAAAGGTTTTATACCACATGCATAGACTATATGCATTACTTAAAACCAGAGACCAGAAGGATGGCTTACGTTTGTTCTCTGTGGGACAGTTGCCTGATAATGTGTTTGAATGGTGAAAAAGTTATAGCAAGCAACAACTGGAAGATTTCGGAGGCTTGTAGTAAATCAAACTAGTAACAAGGAGCATCTGATCTAACTTTCCTGTGAGAAAGGGAGAAACTATTGAAATAGCTATTTGAAATATAAAATCAAGAAGTAGGAAGATCTGTTCTTCTTCTATTTTTAAATGGCTATTTAAACTCTTTAGTTAAGGAAAATATCCGAATTTTGGGCAAAAAGCTGACTAACCAGAATGTCATGGTTGTGCAAATGAGAACCGGTAATCCCAGATTGATCAGTTACTGGAAATACTAAATTGGAAAAGGTAAAACCCTTGAAACTTGTAAGAATGAATAAAAAGGGGTTGGGGGCAGTTTAAAGAATCAAAAGCTTGTACTGAATATTGTGTGGTATAACAGAGATCTTTCCGAGACTGAATCAGTGCACTTTTAAGATTTTTTTGGAACATGATGATTTTATGGGTTATAGTAAAGAAGTGCAGTAATACACAGCAGCCATGGGAAACTAGCAACAAACTGTAACTCTAAAACTGCCGTCTCGTCGCTAGCATTTCAGAATCTGTTAAACCTATTTCTTTTTACTCTGAGAGCTCTGTTCCAATTTTTTCTTCCTTACTGTCTTCCTTTGCTTCTCTTAGGTTCGCAAATTTGTGGCCAAGGACAGTGCAGGGCTTCGTATCCGTAGCCACCCTTCCCTTCAGAGTGAGCAGATAGGCATAGTGAAAGTCAATGGATCCATCACTTTCATTGACGAGGTAATAAGACATTTCTGTTGAAAATTGGGCTAAGATGTAAAGTTAATTCATGCAAATGTTTTTTTTTCATGTTCGGATGTACAACTTAAGAACATAAAAGTATAAATTGCAAAAATCTAAATATTTACTAATTTATTTTTTCAAGCTGTCATTTCCTTTTAATTTACTGACTTGAAAACCTCTATAACAAACTTTTGAGACTCTTATTTGAGGACACAAAATTCCAAGTGTTCATCTTATAATTTCTCTAAGGATTTAGCTGTTAATGACTTACTCTCTCAACTCTACACAAAAATTCAGATGTAGGTGTCATTTTCATTACATCTTTCACTTGCATTTCTGAAAGATCACTAGTTATTAGACTACTATGCATGTATTTTTCTTGCAATATAATTTCATATACAAGGAGTATTTTTGCAATTTACTAAGCTGTATCAGCAGTGGATAAACGGAAAGTGGGGAGCTTATGAAGGCTTGGCTTTCTTTCCTCTTTTTCTCTCAAAGCAACTCTTACTATTGCATGATCCGATTTAAATTTATCTTTGCACCTTGCCTTCTCAAAAGATACGCCTTCCATTGCTTTGAAATTCTGATTTTGTCGGTATTTCTCTTTACCTATCCCTACATTTTGTCAGGGTAGTGAAGATCATTACTTCCTTGCTACTATTGCCTGTTTGTCTGAAGTCTGCTGATCCTTACTGGCTACGGAACAGTTACAGGAGGGCATGGCTCGTTTTTGTTGCTTGTTTCCCATAGATCCACAATGATGATGGTGTTTGGCTGAGGCTGAATGATGAGACAATAAAGAAGTATGTTCCTAACATGAATGGTTACACTGAAGCCTGGTGTCTCTCTTTTAACCAGCATCTTGGCAAGAGCCTTCTGGTACCTGTTGACGTAAGTAAAAGGTGCCTTTGAAAAATATCCGAAAGTACACTCTATCCTCATTACAAGACTTTCTTTAATTAAGGCTGCAAATGAGTCCTGAGGTAAATAGTATTTTAATTACCAAATACTACCTTGTATGTGTTTGCATTGTTGAGGGCTATTGTGTAATGAGGGTGGAGTGTAGAAACATTTTTGAGGCTTTTTATGTTGAAGAAGCCTCTTTTCGTAGAACCGAAGCCCAAGTGCATGGACTGCTGTAACAGTGTGCAAAAGGATGAGATTGTGGTCTGCACCAGCTGTTTCTGATTCAAGATGTCATTGTCCATAAAGTAGCCTGCCAGTGTGGTGATTTCAGAAGAGGCTTGCAGCCTGCAGCGAGTCAATGCAATTGAGGCTTTTTCAAAAATACTTGTAAAGTCCTTTAGGCTCTCTTGGGTTTTGTGTATATTTTTTTTGTGAGTTTTACACCTAAATCCTTGAGTTATCAATTTATTAGTGAATCAAAGAATCCCAGAGCATCAAAGCTGAGTAAAAAAATAATTTATAAGAGTAAGCATAATTTATCTGGATAACCTTAATGGCGATCCCCATCACTACAGTTTGAAGGTTGCACTTTTTCTGTAAACAAGATACAGCTTAAAGGAAAGAAAAAAAGTATATTAGCTAAACCAGTGTTTCTCCAAAAATCTGTGAAAGAGCAGGCCTTTCTGGCTCATCACAGAATGTTAGAACTATTCTGCTTGCTAATACAGCTGTTTAGATTTGATTTGTCCTCTTGTATGAGTGAGCTGCTGCTGCAGTTGAAGACAGTATACAAATATTTAGCCATATTAAACACCGGCAGCCAGTAACATCACCCTATTCATGTTTTCCAGTCATAGACAGAGATACTCCCAGTTTCAGTAAAACTGGGCTGTTTGCTAGTAGCCAAATCTGGCAATTCATAAATTCCCCTGGCTGTAACCTGTGTTCTGGCTAACACTCTTACATGATGCAATTAGATCTTCTTCCTCTTCACCTTCTTGACTATAAATTATTTGTTGATATAACTCTGTGGATATTTCTTCTTATTTTGCAGAAGTACTTTAATACTGTATTTGGCAAGTAAATTATTGCTGTACTCAATCATCAGTCACTTGAACTCTGTGATGGCATGTTTATGCAGTTTGTTGTAGAATATAAGAAAAAATTAAAAAAATACAAGCTTTGCTTAAAATCTTACTCGTATTTTTGGCCCTAGAAATTGATACTCATTAGGAAATAGCTAATTTCACAAAACGTTAATATATGTATGCAGCAGTATCATAAGCCTGGATGGGTGTTATATTTTGTTAGATTTTATTTAATTTTTTCTATTCTTAGTGGTTTTTTACTTGCTGAGGGGAAAAGATTTGAGCTCAGTAGTCACTTATCTACTGGTTGGCACATTTCAAATGACTCTAGTACCCATTTCTAGAGAAGAACATACCCTGTGCTCTCTGAGAAAAGCTTGAAAGGAAATGGCTGTCATAAATAAATAAACTGAGTATTCAGTCTTGATAATATAATCTTGATAATTCAAATTTTATTTGAATAGGTCAGGTACAATTAAATTTGAAAAACAGCATTTAATTGTCATACATTTCACTCTAAATGCTTCTGTAAAGTTCCAATAAAATGTTAAAGATTTTTTTTTCTTAAACAGTGGCTGTGAATTAGTTTTGATACCATCTGAACTATAAGAAGTTGGTAGATATTACTGATTTTCTTCTAACCAGTTATATTGTGTCCTTAATGGCACAAAGGTGAAAGTCCTGTGTTTTCTTACCTTCTAATCAGTAAGCAGCCAGTAGCCAACGTAGCTAAAGTCTTAGAAAAGCAACTATCATAACAATGTAGCTATGCATAATAAGATGTGTTTTGAGCTACTTTCAGATGGAAGGTCTCTTTGAATCTCTCATATTTTTGAATTTTTGAAAGGACTTAGCCCTGAAGCTGTTTAATTTCATTATGACCATATTTAAGCATTAAGATTTGTTGGCTTGATTCATAATAATAAGAGGAAAAAAGGAAAAAAACGTTCCCTAACATTTTCTTTCTTTCTTAAAGGCCACAAAACAAAAGTCAAGGTTCAGTGGCTTACTTTTGAATGACTTAGTCTTTAATGGTTGCTGTCATAGCATTATGCACCACACAACTTGATGAAATTCAATAAACTCTTTCGTAAGCTCCTAGTTTTTGTAACTTAGCTTAAAACTCTTTTTCCTGCTGAATCTTGATCACATACAGTGATACTGCTTTCTTAGTAGAAGGTTTTAGAGTAAAATCTCTTTTAAAGTGATAACTGATTTGAGAGTATTCAAAAATATGTCTGTCTGTCTCTAAACTGTCCAAGAAAATTATGTCCCTTCTTACTGCAGAGAAGGTTGAACTAGGTGACCTTTAAAAGGTCATGATATTCCAACCTAAACTATTCTATGATCTTTGAAAAGAACTATATTTTTATTAAGCTTTCAAATTTTATCATGCAGTCCTCTAGGGGTGAATGATTTGTGCAGCAAAAGATGTTCAATTGAGCAATAAATGCTGTAGATGAAATTGAGCAGATGTGGAATATTTCACACCCTTTTCTGTTTATTCGGGTAACTAAATGACATGATGGGCAGAATGTAATAAAAAAAATCCGTCAATATACAAGATTTTTAGAATCCAAAGCTGTTCTACCAGTATTGGCTTCAGAAGAAGGCAAATGTCTCTCGTGTGACTGAAAATACAAATGGAAAATCAAGTAGCTAAATTAGTCATCGTATTCCCTGTTCAAATGAATGTCATGTTACTTTTATTATACTCAATTTTTATTCAACTTACACATGTGCAGACTTGGCAACTCCAATTACGTTACTCTGTCACATTTAAGCATACAGGCTTTTTCTAATCATCCCTTAAGTAAATAAAATCTCTCAGTGAATTTTGTAAAATATAATTAAGGTATTTTTTTTCAAGAAAGTTTGAATTCTTCTGTTTCAGCACTGTATTAATAGAACAGTGAACACGCCAAAAAAAGGTAGAATTTTTCAGCCTTTTGTCCTCTTGGCATATATATTGTGTTTACATTTTAACCATATATTTTATGATAAAGCAAATATTGAGTATCTTAAATCTCTTAAATACACTATTTCTCTATGGTTTGACCAAAGCTATTATATTTAAAGAAAAATGATCACAGGAAAGCAGAGATCTATTGTAGCTGCCATACTATTTATTTGAGCTGTGGTCATTCACCTTAAGAAAAGCTGTGCCGTCAAATTCTTTCATGAGGGGCTGCCATAGAATCACAGAATGGTTTGGTTTGGAAGGGACCTCAAAAATCATCTAGTTCCAACCCCCCTGCCATGGGCAGGGACACCTCCCACTAAAGCAGGTTGCTCAAAGCCCCATCCAGCTTGGCCTTGAACACTTCAGGGATGGGGCATCCACAACTTCCCTGGGCAACCTGTTCCAGTGTCTCAGTACCCTCATAGTAAAAAATTTCTTCCTGAGATCCATGTAGCCATTGATCTAACACTGAGCATCCAATCCATTGAAGGTAGTATGATTATGAGACTATGAATTTAATAGATGCTGATTTTTGGGTTTGAGTATGAGTCATAAGAGATTGCTGTTTTCCTTCTCTGGTAGTTACTTTTCTTCCTGTCTTGTGACATGAGGAGAGGCTCAGGGAAGACCTTACTGCTCTCTACAGCTGCCTGAAAGGAGGTTGTAGCAAGGTGGGGGTTGGTCTCTTCTGCCAAGTAACAAATGATAGGACGACAGGAAACGGCCTAAAGTTGTGTCAGGGGAGGTTTAGGTTGGATCTTCGGAAAAATCACCAAAATTGCCTCTTCACCAAAGGATTATCAAACATTGGAACTGACTACTCACAGAAGTGGATGAGTCACCATGCCTGGAGGTGTTTAAAAGATGGGTAGACATGGTGCTTAGGGACATGGTTATGTGGTGGTTTTGGCAGTGTTAGGTTGATGGTTGGACTCGATGATCTTTAAAGATCCCTTGCAACCTAGACAACTGTAAATTTTTGAAAAAATACTTCTGACAGAGGGTGTTACATATAGGGACAGTTACATATGCATGATTGCACATAGTACTTAGCAGAAAGGTACATACAGCAGAAAACAGTACACACTAGGGAGAAATAGGATTTTACCTTGTCTAAGTTCTGGAACTTGACTTTTAAAAATAATATTCTGAATACATTTTTGTTACTTCATTTTAAATATCAAACTTTATAGGGAATATTGTACCCTACTGCCCAGTTTTACTATTACGTTCACCAACCACCATAGGCAAACAGGATTGAGAACCCGCAAATTTTTTTAAACCACTGTAGCAGTGGAAGAAAGAACCAAAAGTAGTTATGTAGACTGCAGTGTTTGATCACAGAACCTCACAAAGCTGAATGTTCTGTGGAGGCATCGAAGGACATTCACAGTAGATTTCTACCATTGCTTTAGGCATGGAGCAATTGGAGAGTAAGACTGTGGTGGGTAAGGTGTCAAGATGGTTGTTTTAGGTAAGCCTTAGTTTTGAAAAATAATTAATTGAGATTTTAAATGCTTCTTAATGGTCTGCTAATTTTTGGTCACGAAATGAAGTAATTAGTATTTAATTTTTTGATTTCTGAAACTTAAACTGTATTGGAAAAAAGTATGAATTCCTGAAATAATTTTTAGTTTTTTGGAAGGGAAGGCTTGAAAGGAAAAAATGAACTAAACCTACAGATGGTAGTATAAGGTCTCCATATAAAGCTTGTGTGTAGTAGTTTCTTCAGAATCAAAACTTAATTCTCAGATGCATGACTGATCTGGCATATGGTGTGCTCATAGCCAGGAACATCTCAAGTTCCCAGAGCAAAGGGAACTCAGTTTGATCTGCATGGTACTGTGAAGCCAGCATGGTCCCACTTCACTGCTGTTGGTTTCTTTTTTATGTTTTATACATACAGCTCTACAGCATACAAAAGCAGATATTTGAAACTATATTTTTAGGTGTGGATGTTTCTCTGTACAGTAGAAGTCCATCACAAAATATGAGATACACTGCAAAGTAATATCAATAGTCCATTAAACTACATTGGATGCCTATGAAGTACGCTCTTATCAGGCAAATGTAGGCTTTTAATAATTGTCATAGTTTTATGCCAAATTGATAAGAAAGACATCACTCTGCCAGTCTTCCTATATAACACCTTCCCCAGTGCCCTAAAACATATCTCACTATGTGCATTGCTACCTCTTTCAATTTTGGGTAGAGGTACTAAATTCTAAAGAAGTGCTGGTATTTGGTCATTTCCCTGGTTTTGTCAAAGTTGCAGATTGTTTGTATGACAAATTTGATGTAAGAAGTTTTGCAAACAGTATATAGTTAGATGATTTGCTTCTATCACGGGATACAAGCATGGTTTTACTTACTCTTAACGTGTTAATGTTTTTTCAAGGAACACAGAGGCGCAGGCCAAGGGTGTTTTGTACTGTTTCTGCTTAAAGGGGTTCATTGCCTTTTCTTTTAACTACTGTTAAATTTTAATGTGACTTCTGTTCAAGGATTTCACTTGGTTCCCCTGTCAGGATGGGGATAGGAAATGATTTTGATACCTCTCATCATACAGATAAAATTGTTACTTTGCCAAAGGGATTCTGTTATACCGATTATTAATGCTACTGTATATGTACTATTAATGTTTCATTTGACAGGAACAGCAAAAATGTCTTTGAAATTAGTAGAAACCAGTTTATGGAGAAAAGATGGATTCTTTTTCGTGTCTTCGTGATTAAAAAATGCTGTCCTAGCTGTTCTGTGAGAGGAGAAAATGCACAGAAGAGCAGTGCTCATCTCTATAGTACAGGCAATTGGTTATAGAATTAGTGAAGTCTCTCTGGCAGCTCTATTTGGTCTATGATCATTCACAACAAACTACTAAACGCACTGTTTATTTTATAAAACTAATGAAATCTTAGCAATCGTTCTCCTTGCAGCACTCTGTGAAATGATTGGCTCTGGTAAAGGGCGCGATTTTGATGTGCAAAGCAGTGAAATCATTCTGTGCAAGTGAATTGCTTTCAACAACAGCGAGCTTAGCCCTTCTGCATATTGTCAGTTCTGACTTGGTGACTAAAAGTCCATGTGCAGTTGTCTTTGCAATAGTTGAAATTATCTTTCAGAACAGCAGACCGTCTTGCTATAAAACTGTGGTTTGTGGTGGAACCAACTATCGTTTCTTTGTAGCAGAAGTGTGGGGATTTTCTGTGCCTGAACTCTCGAGCTTTTTAAGAAATGTCTGGCTCTTAATTTCAGTAAATGGCATGACACACTACATCCATTTCGAGCTTTTGACGTACAAAACTGGTTTTGTTTAATGGATGATTTGCCATGGTGAGCAATGGACTCAGGTGACTTGATTAGGAAAACAAAACTTTCCCCTTTTGCAAAACGTTCTACCAGTAAACTTACTTGTGGAGAAAGTTTGCGTTATAGTACCTCAAGCTTCTTCCTCCAGTGTTTCTTTGTTCCTGTTTCTTTGTTGATATATGTCTTTTTTTTTTTAAACTTTGTTGCTCAGAATGTCTTTAATGCTAGCCAAGGAGTAAGGGATTTGGACTTTTTTTCATGGACTTCCAAAGCTTTACCCCCTAAGGTGAGTGTAAGTGACAGGAACAGTCACACTGTATCTCGTGTTTTCAGATTGTACCTTATGACTCAATTTGACACTAAATATTCTTTGAAGTCTATTTTACTTTGAATTATTTTACAGGAAATAGCAGATTTGCATAGAATGCTGTATCTGTGTGTCTTCCTTTAGGATGAGAAAAAAATGCCAGGGCAGATTATTGAATTTTCATTAATTCGTTCCTTTTTTTTAAAAAAAAAAAAAAAAAAAAAAACCAAATTAGAAATTCAGAGAGATGACCTAGTAACACCATAAAGACTTTCATTTCTCTTTTTGATGCAGAATGTACTAGTGAATTTTTTTTCTCTATTACTGGAGGGTACACATTAAGTTGCAGCATTTAATAAGACGGTATTTGTATGAAGAAAGCAACAAACAATACATACTCAGCCCATTCTTAATCTTTTAAAGAAATTATACAGTTATAGGAACAATTTATGTTACGTGCAGTTAAGCAGTTTAAATTATCTACAGAGGTGCTTGTCTAAGTCTCTTTGCAGCCCTATAGATGTTGAGATTGAGTGTTTTTTCATTTGAACTTTGTAATGAAGATGACACTCAGCGTTGTGCATACTGGTTTAGAGATTTAAAAACTTGTTTTTCACCAAGTCTTTTTCCTCAAAATAGCAAACTTCATTGTTGTACCAAGACATAGACAATGTTTAAACTGTCCATAAAACATACAGAATTATATTTCCTTGAGCCAAGTTTATCTCAGCTTGCATTAACTTGCTTTGAAAGTTACATGTTTACAGAACAGATTCATTTTTGTAGAAATGCCTTTTGGAAAGACTGCTGTTTACTCTGGACATTGTGCCCAGACTTCAATATGAAAAACCCGAAAATGGGATAATTAAAGAGATCAGAGGAAATTGCAGTAATTAAAAAAAAAGAGATCAGAGGAAATTGCAGTAATTAAAAAGGAAATAACATAAGCAGAACTTTGGTTTTAAACTGATAAAAGAAAGTATTTTTAACACAGCAGGAATTGAAGTCATGGAAGGTTCTGTTACAGGAGATTGTGGAGGCAGAAAATATCAGCACATCCAGAAGAAATTAAACAAATTTATAGAAATCAGATTCAAAAAGGAAATAACATAAGCAGAACTTTGGTTTTAAACTGATAAAAGAAAGTATTTTTAACACAGCAGGAATTGAAGTCATGGAAGGTTCTGTTACAGGAGATTGTGGAGGCAGAAAATATCAGCACATATATAAATTAAACAAATTTATAGAAATCAGATTCATAAACAAACACTACAGAAAACAGGGCATACCCTCTAACATCCATAATAAAAATAATTTAAATGCTGTTGGTGTATAAGGGATAGACCACTACTAAAGACTTGAGTGCTACTTCTAAAGGTCATCTCCTGTTGACATTGCTGAGGTCAATATACTGGATTAGGGGAACCACTGGCTTCATCCTGTAGGGCGTTACTTAGTTCTTAAATTTCAGGTGTCCTTTTAAAAGCACCTCTTACTTGTATTATAAGCGTAATAGAGTTCGCTCCTGCTTCTCACTTGCTTTCTTCTGATATAAATGTGCGTTACGTTACTCCCATCCCTCATATTTTTCTTTGCAATAGCCTTTTAATTAAGCTATGGCTAGCTGAAAAATCTGTGCTAATATATTTCCTCTTCTTTTAGTAACTACCAATTTTTCTTGGTAGGAAACTCAAAAACTGTTTTCTCGTTTCAGATTTGGGTAAATATTTCATCTGTAATTGGTATCAGGTGAAAAAAATTTGCAGACTGTTTTTATTGTCATAGTGAAAATAATAAATATGCACTAGTATTTACATGTGCATTTAAGAATCTCTGGTGTTGCTGTTACTCTGTCATAATTTTACCTTTACTCTAAATTAAATAATGTATTCTAAATGTGAAATCAAAAAAGAAGCGTATCATTTGGAAAGAGATAATATTTGAATTCTTTTTATGTAGCCCCAGTCTTTTTCACAACATTTCATAAGTACAGCAGGAAGAATGAATATGTATCCTGATAAATGTCAGTATGAAACAAGGTTTAGTTAAACACTTAGAATAAAGAATTTGTCTTTAGCGGCAGATAAGAAATATTCCTTTTATATAAATGGTTACTTTTATACCAGTTTTTTGTTTCAAGAATAATATAATGACTTTTCAGATAATGTGCAATTTGCTAGTAGTTAGTTGGTTATCATTGAACGCTAAAATTAGCACTGTATCTAGTATCTCTTTTAGCTCTTAAATTTAGCTACTGTAGTCTTGAAATAAGTATTATCTAAAGAGTTCAAAGGTCTTACTAATAGGTTTTATTCTGTTTGTTTTGCCTTTTTTTTTTTTTTTTTTTTAACTTCTCAGGAATCTAGGTCTAATACTGATGATTTTTTCAAAGACCTAAATTCACACTGCCCACAGGAAGCAGTGATGCAAGAACAAGACGTGCCATTCCTTCGAGGTGGACCTGGAGTGTACAAGGTAGTGAAGACTGGCCCGTCAGGTCACAACATCAGAAGCTGCCCTAACCTTAGAGGTATCCCAATTGGAATGTTAGTTCTGGGAAACAAAGTCAAGGCAGTGGGCGAGGTATGGATCCTTGTAGCTTCAGTTCATGTCTTCATAGATACCAGTATATAACAGTAATAAGCGCAACAAAAGAACAGGTTTGCTTTTCCAACCTTCACAATAAATACTAACCTTTGAACTTGGTTTATACTATAAATACTAATGCAATTATGTCTTTTGCCTTTTAGATGTGTGCATTGATTGGAATAATGTTAAAATTGTACTGCAGTTACCTATGCTTGCTTATATATTTCTGTTACAGTATTTCGCAAAATGATGTTTCTTGTTCTACTTTTTTGTTGTGTTCTTTGAAAGAATTTTGTTTCATTGAAAAAAATGTTTTCCTAGGACCTAACCAATTAACAAATTATTCTGTTTCTCTGTATTCATTGTATTCATTTGTTCAGTTGCTGAACTGTTGTTACTGTTCCCGGTTGTCCAGCTGTGGTGTTTTATGGTTAAGAAGGGCTTAAGGATGAAGTGTGTCATGCTATTTCCTAAATATAATGTCAGGAACAAAATTAGTACGCGTACAAACTTTTCGTATATAACTTGGTATTACAATTCTACCGTTGCAGCTACCAATAAAAAGGCATATTTTGGTGAATATCTCCTTCAAACTTGTTTGGATGTTCTAAAGTTGTGGTGTTGGTGTTTTGCTTCTCCTGAACATAAGCAGGTCTAAGATTTTTTGGAAATACACCTAAGTGTAAATGTGCCATAAATAGTTTTGGTCCTACAATCTGCCTCAGCCTGTGGCCTTAATTTAAGAAACTTTTTTTTTTTCCAACATTTGCATTGTAATAGAAAGATTGGAATGAGTGTGTTTTTCAGATACTATAATAAGATAATAATCATGCTACTGAATTACCTGAAAAGTCATTAAATTGTGCTTTTTTTATCTGTGTGCATCAGGTGACTAATTCAGAAGGTACATGGGTGCAAATGGATAAGAACAGCATGGTAGAGTTCTGTGAAAGTGATGAAGGCGAGGCGTGGTCGTTAGCTAGAGACAGAGGTGGAAACCAGTACCTTCGACATGAAGATGGCAAGTTGTTTTGTTTTGTTTTTTTAAATTAACTTAGAAAAAAAATAAGCAACCTAAACAGGACAAATAAATAAAGAAGGAACTGAGTTTTAAACGGGCATAACATTAATTTAGAATTTTCATTTGAGTTACTTTACACTGTTGGACTTCAAAGTTGTTCTTTAAGTGTTTTTAAAAGAACAGTTAAACTATTTCCCCATGTTTTCTTCTGTACCATTTACGAGTCACATTTTAACCATCCTTCTTTTAGCCATGGGCATCTTTTTTAAATAAGTAATTGTGAATTTTTTTAGCTTTCTTTGATTTACTTAATGTCTCCGAAAATCAGAGCAGAATGAATTATTTATGTTCGTTTTGATTTTAAGTTTGTTAATTCTGTAACAGAGCATCCTGTTAAAAACCTGTTACCATGCTTTTTAGCACCGTATTTAAAATTAACATCAAATTAGTTAATTATTCTAGTTAGCAAAGTATGATTGCATTCTCTTAAAATGCAAAATTTCTGTCCTGATAATTCATGTTCAGATTGGGTAAGACGTAGAAATAATAAAATAAAACATAAAATGTTAGGACACAGAAGTTTGTTCTTGCCCTGCCGGTCACCTCCCATCATCCTTCTAATTGATCTCCCTCTAAACAGGGTATCATTACTGATCTAAAATATCTTTCACCCCAAATGCTTTGTATGAGCACCTTGAGTTATTCTGAAACTGTTACTTCTTTAACAGATAGCCCACCTGGATGAGTTCTCCTGTGCAAGATTATGGGCTGCTTATATTCCCTTAAAAGATGAGACAGGGAGTGATCTGTCAGTATTTATAGTTCTGGAGGAGATCAGCTATCCAACCCTCCCTGTCAGTACAGATTTGAGCTAGATCAGGTTGCTCAGGCCCTTGTCTAGTTGACTTCTCACTATCTCTAGCCTCTCTGGACAACCTGGACTGTATTTGACTCCCCTTCAAGGTGAAGAGTTTTTCTAATACCTAATCACAGTTGCCTGTGCTGCAACTTTTGTTTTATTTTCTCTTGTCCTATCACTGTGAACTGATAGGACTCTGGCTTCATCTTCCCTGGGCCCTTTGATTTAGGTAGTTGAAGGGAGCAATAAGATCTCATCTTAGGTTTCTCTTTTCAAGGCTGAACAAACCCAGGTCCCTCAGCCTCTCCTTCGACGTTGTGTGCTCTACTGCCTTGACTGTCTTGGTGGCCTCCCCTGAACTCATTTCAGTCTGTCTTCTGATGGGCAGCCTGTAACTGGACACAGCAGCCCAGCTGTCCAGTGTGTCCCTCTTGTCTTTCTAATGTCTGGTAAAAGTTCCTCTGGATCTTCATTGGCATGATTTTGTTATGGATATTCTCAGAAACAAACATTTAAGGTTCTTTCATTGATTATAAAATTTTGGTAGAGTTCCCTAGAGGCTGGTTTGTTCCAACTCATTTGAAGAGTTATTTTCTTCAAGCCTTCTCTTTTCTTTTTTTCTTCAACATACTTTTCTCTGTTTTCTGAATAAATCTCAACACCTTCAATTTACAATGTTCCCAGTCCATTTATGGGATCTAATGCATCCGTTTTCCAAAAGGTGTCTTCATGGTAGACCTCACCCTCAGCAGTCATATTCTGCTTGTGTTTTTATGTTGTACTTACTGTCAGCCTCTTATTTGTTCATCATAACAGACTCTCTGCCCTCTTTCTGCTTTTCATGTTTTGTGCTGAAAATCATTTCACACCTAGATACTCTGATAATTATGATCAGATTACCATATTAAAACAAAGTAATTCCTTGCTAATATGTAAGTGTTTCTTGTGGGCTACTGCTGCTTGACTTCAACATATGAAACGTTCTGTGAAGAAGGGGAGTAACCAAGAGTTTTTCATAAAATGTATAAATTGTGAAGAAAAAAGTGTTTACTTACCATTTAGCACAGCATCTTTTTTGAAGTCAGAGAGTCTTTATTTTTAGTTATGTCTGATAATGTCAAGTTGCAAGGTGCTCAAAGAGCCAAAGTAGATTCTAGAAACTAAGTAGTTATTAATTGGAACAATACCGTACTGTTGAAAGTACACATATTCAGTAATAGGCTTGGTAACTTCATCATTTTCTATCTCAATATGAAGCTGTTTGCTTTTGCAGTAGAAAATAATTGCTCTGAAGTTAATAAATTAAGCAGTGTGCAAAAACTTCCATTCAAGAATACTTGTTTTAAAGAGTAGATATAATGTGCATTTAAGTCACTTGATGGTATTCTGTGTACCTTAAATAGTCTTTTCCAGCTTCAGTAATTTATTTATTTCATCCTTTCTATATGGAAAGTGATTTCTCAAGGTATATATGTGCTTTAAGACAGAATTCCCAACTTCAGAAGAATTTAAATAAGACTCTTGTTTGAAGATCCATCTTCAATCTCTTGATACTTAATGTATGTGTACAGAGGTATGTCTTCAAGTATATTGGTGTTCTCACAGAAGAACAGAAATGCAAACTCCAGGCTTTGAGGACAGAACTCTGTAGTGGGATTTTTACACTCCAGTGCATTGGGATACCATCTCAGAACATTCTGATGCAAGTCCTATGCCTCAACATGCCTGGTTTTATTTATTTCTAGATCAGTCTCTTTTTAAAAAAAAGGTAGAATGAAGATAGATGTCTCCTGTGCATCTAGCTAAAACAGTTTCAGTAGTTATTGGTGCAGTTACAGAAATACTTCAATCTATTCGATGTTCCTAGCCCATGTCAGTACTAAGTAAATCTAATGAGCTTAAGCCACATCTGAAAATTATTTAAACTGCTTTTGTCTGCCATGAAATTAATTAGGAATACTCTGTCTTCAGTGTCAGTGCTTTTGCTGGAGGGAAATAATTAGCATTTGGAGGAGCTCCAACTAGATTTGCAACTGTCTATATTTTTATCCATAAATAATACCATTTTTCAGATTGCTTTTGTATTTTCACTATTTAATAAAATTATAATTAAATTCTCAGAAAGAAGTAGAATTCATCAGAGACAGAGCAAAAGACATACTGAATGCCCAAGTCTGTAGGCAGATATCCGAATACTTCAGCTGAAACACTACAGCAAGATCTAGAGTTGCCTATAATTCGGAAAATTCTAGATTCTTTCTTTTTTTAAATTGAGTTTAAATTTCAAATGTTCTCTCTGATATGTTTTGGTTTTTGTTTTGTTTTGTTTTTTAATTTGCAAATGTGTGTTCTATAAAAGTTCATACTGTGAAATGCAGTTTTGGCCTAAGATACAATTTCCTAAAAATGCCTCTTAGAGGAGTTGTAATTTTTTTTAAATTGAATCCACATTAACTTCAGTATATTTATAAAAGGAAATGTTCAAGGTGACAACCTGAGCTTTTAACCTGCATTTGGAAGATTTCATGTGAATTGTTTCTTGTAACTTACCACTTGGAACAGTATTTCTGACCACATGAATCATAGAATCATAGAATTGGGTAGGCTAGAAGGGACCTTCAAAGGTCATCTAGTCCGACCCCCCCGCAGTCAGCAGGGACACCCCCAACTAGACCAGGTTGCCCAGGGCCTCGTCGAGCCTCACCTTGAATATCTCCAGGGAAGGGGCCTCAACCACCTCCCTGGGCAACCTGTTCCAGTGTTCACCACCCTCACAGTAAAGAACTTTTTCCTAATCTCCAATCTAAATCTGCTCCCCTCCAGCTTAAAGCCATTGCCCCTCGTCCTATCACTACAGGCCTTTGTAAACAGGCTCTCCCCGGCCTTCCTGTAGGCCCCCTTCAGGTACTGGAAGGCTTCTATTAGGTCTGCCCGGAGCCTCCTCTTCTCCAGGCTGAAGTCAGAATGTCTCCCTAAATCCAAATAGTCAAGTGGATTCTGTGTCTCATTTGTCTTGGCTCT